AAGGTTAATTTTGTCTTATTGAAAATAATCTTATTTCAGAATCATATAATTATGCAGACATTGCTTAAAAAATAAAGAAAGGGAATTCAGAAATTGTAAATCTGAATAACAAATTTTTTAGATTGAAATCTTTACAAGACCCTATTATGAACGATAGATCAATAATATCAATTACTCCGGTTTTGGAATTCATAAATTAAACACCTTTTATAATTAGAATTGATAAACATTGTCCTCAAATCAAATAATTTCTACATTTTATTCTCAATTCAAATTAAATAGTAGAAGATTGTGAAATTAATCCTTAAAAGGAATATCTATTTAGTTTTAAAATAGAACGATATTATTAATCAATATAATATTCATTTACTGAATTGATGAAAGGGAAAAAGGTAGTGTTAGAAGATGAAAAATGGTAATTAAATGTAGATAGAAAGTATTTAAGTTTAATCTTAATAATCAAACCTAAAATAGATAATTATGGAAGACATCAAATTACTATTCAATTTAATTAATCTTATTTAATAAATAATACAGATTTAGATATATTAATATATTAAGGAACTGAAAAGAATTTAGAGATTTTAGGAGGATAAAAGTATAATACTTCCTTTTAATAAATAGTCCTTTAAAATATTTAAGAAAAATAATTTATAGTATTTGAAGAAAGAAATTCTAATTTAAAATCATAATCATTAGCATTATCAGAAATCATTAAATTAGAAACTATATAAATCAAAAAAAAAGTAAATAATCTTCTTTATTTTCTTCCAATTTAAATAGAAAAATAATTTATATAATATGGAGATTATACAATTCCATTCTTTTAAATTTATTACAAGTACATCTTATATAATAGATTGGAATAACCAATTTATCTTTGTTATGAAGATAAAACAACCATCCTTGAATCCTTGATTAAAAAACCTTTATAATTTTGGAAACAGGAACATTAAAACAATCCTGATTTCTCCTATGAATGTTCTTTAAAACTTATTTTTAATGATTAAGTTTTATAAACAGAAAGATTCAATATTATGATTCAATAACAATTTGTGTTACTTATTAGATCTATAAATCTTCGTATAAGAAAGTTTATAAAAATTACAATATTAGAAAAAAATCATGAATATTTTTTGATTATTGATGATATTTAAGATAAATAAGATTATCCATTTATGATAATAAATGAATCAAAATCCTTATAAATATAATTAAAAAGTGACAATGAAAAACTATCTTCTGGAGATAGTTTTCCTTTGGCAAATTCATTACAATCTGATCAAGATTTCACTTATCCAGTAAATTTAAAAGATCAAACTATGAATTGGAATAATTCAATTTAATTTTTGTTAAAATTAGATTAGGTAGGTTTAAGTGGAATTATAGAAATCAATGGTTAGAAATATGATTATGGTGTAGTTAAAGTAGGCAATCAAAAATAATTTATTTTTAAAGATTTTTAAAAACAAAGACCAAGTTAAATTGTACAATAAATATAGTAAGAGAAAATTTTGTATCATTTTGATTTAAAGATGTAGATTATAGGTTGTACAATATCTTATATTGAAAATTTGAAAACTAAATGTAAAGAACTTCTTATTTGTTCACTTGAAAATATTATTATGGTTTATTCATCTAATGAATTTAATTAAAAATAGATAAATTTTAAATTGTAAAAATTGTAAATAGATGCATAGTCTAAGAAAATGTCATAATAAAAAACTGTTTTATTTTCTGAGGTTTCATAAAACTTAAATTCAATTGAATTTGAATTAAAATTAGATGCAATGACTACAGAATCTTATTATTCTTTAGATTTAGTAAAGATAAATCTTGGAAATTTTTAATTTTGTATGGATAAGATTTTGTTAGATAAATATGGAGAATTATAAGCATAATTTTATGATTTCTTTAATTCTTAGCATACTTAAAAATAGAAAGGTAATTATCTTAATAAATTGTTTAACAAAAAAAAAGTTGAAAGAGCACTTTTTAAAAATTAATTGAAATAGACAAGAATATTTGTTAGAAAATTAATATTATGTCCAATGAAAATGAAAATATCTTATTTGAAAGATAATTATTAATTAGAAAAGTAACATTTTGTTAAAGAGAATTTCACAAGTTCACCTTCTAATCTTTTTCATAGAATATTGAAATAATATATTTTTGAAGATAAAAAGTTTTTTTTTAACATGGTTGGTTAATATTTAACAAATAAACTTATGATAAATCTAGTAAAATTAACTAATTGGAATGAGATAAGAATAAAAAGAGCAATATATGAACCAACTAGAGTATATAAAGTTTTCAATCAATAATAAGCTAATCATTAATATATGTTAAAGTAGGTATAGAAATGTGATTGTAATAGGGAATTATCAAAGATAAAATTTAATATTATTAGTTCTCATGATGTTCTTTTAAAAGGATAAAATAAAATTTTATTTATATGTGATTAGTAAATATTTTTTATTCATTAAAATACCATTTAATAATTTTTAGAGTATACTGACATTTAATTATTTTACTCTCAAGCAGATATTTTACACCTTTATATAATTATTGAAAAAGATCAACTAGCTCTATTATTTGAAGATTAGAATAATTTATAGACAGCGATATAAAATTTAAGTAGATTTTAGAATTGATGAATAATTCTATATTTTTTATTGTCACTATTGTTTTCTTCTTATTAAGTTCAATCTTCATTTTCTAAAAATAATATAAATTCACTCTCTAATTTAAGAATTATATTTCTATTAAGTGAAATTTATTATTTTTTTGTTAATTTTAAATTATTACATATATGTGATTCAAATCAATTTATATATTTAAGTATAATTAGATTCAATAGAATATATAGCAAATTGAAAATTAAATAAATTATTATTAATTTATATAATAAATAATAATACTAAAAATGTAGGAATTAGAATGGAGATGTCCTTTTCATCCAGGAGATATTTTAGTATATGTAAATATTTTACGTGATTGTGATTAATCAGAAAGAATTTTATGTAAGGAATGTGTTTCAGAAAAACGTGGTGGACTTATGAAGGATCTTAAGTAATTGTAGGATGTATTAAAAGAAATAAAGTAATAAGGTGATTAATTTAAAAATATTAAAAAATCGAAGGATAAATTTTCATAATAGATTAATAGAATATAATCTAAATTGAATGGATTGTTTGAGAGTCGATCATATTTGTCTATTGAGATTGGATCAAATTCAAATTTATCTGTTTTAAGATAATCAATCCATAGTTATTACTGTCAAAATGATTAAAATGTTGTAAAATCAATATAAATGGATTTTAAATAATTGTAAGAAGAAACTTAAAAAGTCTTTGACATTACCAATGAAGTCAATGCTTAATTAAGAGAAATTTAAGCACGTTAAATTGAAAATAATTTTAATAGATCAATAAAATATATTGATTTAGATACAAAAGATAATATTTCAAATTTCAATTAAATTAAACCTAATTTTGAAGAAAAGAATATATTAATTATTTAAAGTCAAGCTGTTAAATTTTTATGTTTAGAAGATAATAAATTAATAGAAAAAAATGTTATAAATATAAGAGAAGATAGTATAATTACTTATGTAATAAAAGAAGTAGGGAACTCTAAAATTATAATAGGTTAATCAAATGGATATTTTGAGATATGGGAATAAATTTCAAATGGGAAATATATAAAATCTCATGAATAAAAGGATCATAATTCATATATTAATTTCTTATCATTATGTTATAATAATAAAATATTGATTACTGGCAGTAAAAATGGTATTAATTGTTGGTAATATAATGATAAATAATATAAATGGATAAAATTATGGGGAAATAACATTTAATTAATTAATTACTTATGTGTAAACTTAGATGATAAATTATTAGCAGCTGTCATTAATCAGAAGACTCTTTCTATTTTTAAACTTTATTAAAATCAATAAGGGAAAGAAGATTTTTAATAAAGTTTTGATTAAGAAATTATAGCAGTATGTTTTATGAATGATGATGATTTAGCTATTTTTTTAAAAGGTTCTAGAATATTAGAAATATATTAGTATAAATAAAATACTCTATAATTTTATTAAGATATAAGATTAAATTATTTTATTACAGATTGTAAGGGCTAGTTGTTGCCAAAGTTTTATAAAGATATTGGATTACTTTCATTGAAAACTGATTAAGAATTAATATTAATCAAATAAAAAAATTTACAACAAAAAAAATATGAGAGAATTTAATTAGGAGATCAAAAGATGAATCTAATGATGTTATTTAATTTTGGATAGCATATTATTTATAGTTAGGATAATCCAAAATAATATAATTCCTAGTTATTGAAAGTTGCCAAAATAGAATTATAGTGATAATATCTATATGGGATAATATTTAAAAAATATAAATAAATGTAATATTATGTCAAATTTAATTAATTAATGGGATATTACTTAATTTTGGTAATATTTTTATCAAAATGAAATATTAAATTTTTAAATCTTTTAATAAAATTATTAATTAAATTCATTAAGATATATAATAAAATCAATCTTAAATATATAAATAATCAATATATAATAACATCTTAAAATTATATCTATATGAAATCATATATTTATTTTTTTTTAATTATAAAATACACTTTCTAATCAACTATGATCATCTTATAAATCATTATCAAAATAGATATATTAAATAAATTTAATGAATACACTATAAATTTTTAAGGTATCAACTTCTTTTCTAATTTATACTTAATTTAATTTAGATATCTAAAATACACAATTTTGACTCATTGTCTTAAATTAAAGTAAATTGATAATTTATATTATTTTAATTATAGAATTCATATTTATAATCATCTTCACGATCTAAGAATGCAATGATAAAATAAAGTACTATTGTTTTCAGCAAATCATTTGAGAATCAATGAGATAAAATATTGAAATGAAATTAATATAATTAGATTTATTTTATAATATGTCATTTTTGAATAGGTTTAATAGTTGGAAATAATTTTTATATTGTGATTTAACAAATTTAACATAATAAGCTTGTACAAAAAATGACAGAAAATACAATAAGATCACTGTGATCAGTACTTAAATAATAATAATAAATATATTACATTTCATCATTAATATTAACAATAGAAAGCCATCCTCTAGAGGAATTACTAAATGTAGTAATGATAGCTATTATTAAACATCCAAATATCCATAGAGTCAATGGATAATTTTAATAAAATTTATCTTATATAGATTATATATATATTACTTTTAAAAGGATGAGATTGATATAAAATAATGCATATAAGCATATTGTAATATTGATTGGCCAACATCATTACTGAATTTAATGGACCTTCTCTAATGTAAATTTCAATAGGAGAAGGTATTTTAGGTTATTCAGAGTATTATATCACAATAGTTGATAAAATGATACATCCTAAAGATGTGAATATGAATATATTGTAAAATTGTAACTGATTTGGAATAGCAAATACATCATCATTTGGTTTTGATGTAGTTAATGTATTAGATTTAGAAGATAAGGTCATTAAAATTAATACTGGAACACTAGACATGTAATTCATGAATATATATTAGAAATCACCAAAATTCATACCTTGAAATTATAATAGAGCAGTTCCAGTAAATTTTAATACACTAATAAGTACTAAATATTAAAATAATTCTATTATGATTCTTTTAGTTGCTCTACCTTAAAGTAGAATAGAAATGACACACTTAATAGAGTCAGATCTATTACTAAATGGAGATGTATATGAAGCATCTGAAGAACTAAAAGATACACCAACAAGTGATTCAGCTATAGCAGACTAATAAATAATAAATAATTTATATTTACACAATCATTAGCTCCATCTCCTACCATCATAACATATTTATTTAATTAAGTTTATAAATATTAAACAATCTCTTTTTTTTAATATGGTTTCATTCTAGAAAATATTTTAGTTTTCTTTATCACTTTATTTAAACATTCAATAAATCTTTAATCAATTTCATCAATTTATTTTAATTGATTATATTATTATAAATCATTTGATTAATTCATAGAAACTTCATTAATTTTATTTTACATTAAAATACTCCATAAATTACCTGTAATAGCATAATTACAATCATCATTATTATAAATTGTATCTAATTATGTCAAAATAAAATTATATTAAGATCCTGGTTTACCATCACATGAAGATCGACTAGATGATGGGATTTATTATCTTAAATCTTAAATTAATAAAGAATCACTTGATTAATCATAATCTATAATAAGAGTATTTGATTTATTTTCAATTATTTTAGATTCAAATGCACAATGAGTTGTAGTTAAAGCATTATCTCCAGATATAACTCTTATATCTAAATTAGAATCCAATAATTATTATATAACATGACTTGTATCTTTCTTTAAACTATTCTCTAAAGTAAAAATACCAGAAAAATTTATTTAATATTCTAAAAGATTTCTATCTAAATTAATTTAATTAGGAAGTAATGTTTTATAACCTAATCCTATTACTCTAAGTCCATTAAATGTTTTTATTTATAATTATTCATGAATAGAATTATTAATTTCATTAATTGACATTTAAATCAATTTTTCTGGTGATCCTTTTATAAATAATGTATATGTATCTTCATTTTAATTATGAGCCACAACGCTCATCATTTAAAGATGAGAACTAAATTCAAAAATACGAATTATTTTAAATGTTTTTTAGTTATTTGAAACTTTAAAATATTTTTCATCATCAAAATTTATTATCCAATTTGTTTTCTTAAACATTTCTAATTCTAATGGATCTCCTATTAATTCATCCTTTAAAATTACTAAATGATGACAACAAGCCATAATATCTAATATTTCATCACTATGTGGATAATAATCATGTGCTTGCAACCCTAAAGTAGAAAGAGTGCCAGTTTTGTCAAAGCAAATTGTATCAATCTTACCAGCTTCTTCAGCCTTTATTGGATTAGAACCCATAATATCTTCTTATTTTAATTTTAATAATGATATTGCTTAAGCCAAAGAGAAAAAAATAGGCAATGCAGGTGGGACAATCCAAGTAATTACATCTAAATATCTTAAATAAAAAAGATTATTATTACCTTATTATAATCAACTTAGATGAATAATTCATATTTTGATATTATGTTAAATACAGCAAAGTGAAAATAGCTAGAATAAAAAGACCAAGAATCACTAAAAATTTACAAGCTTGTAAGTAGAATTATCTTGAAGGTGGAGGTGGAAATATTACATTTCTAAAATACTATCCTCTCACTGAACTATAGCCTGTTCTTATTACCAAAGCAATATTCTATTAATATTGAGACACTTAAATAACTTTAGTACCTTCAAATAAAGTGTTTAATGAAATCTCATTTGTTAATTCCTTTATTGATTATTTAGGAACAGGAATAGATTCACCTGTTAAAGTAGCTTCATTAACCATGACATCTCCAGATATTAATATTGAATCACAATTTAATTATTAATTATCATGAACATAGAATTAATCTCCTACTACTAAATCACTACCATTTATTATTGAATTATCCTTTAATTTTACTGATTATTAGATGGTTGCCAATTATTATAATTAGATTCTTGATCTTCTCATAAGATAATAGTTAATTATGCAAGCTAAAAAAGAAAAAGAAAGTAAGACTATTGCAAATATAATAAAACCTAAGTAGATTAATAGGAAATACCTTCTGCTATCCATAATAATACTGAAAAATATTATAAAATATAAAATGGACTTGTTAATTCTTAAAATAAATAAGTGAATATTGATTTAATAGGAATTTATAATTAACTATTTCCATAAATGTTTTATCTAATATCTCTAGATATTTGATTATTTAACAATAGATCTAATTTTTTTGACTTCTAATCTAGATAAACACTTGACTCAACATAATTAACTGGTTAGAAGAAATTGTCCTTTAATTAATATTTAAGAAATCTGTTTTTAATCAAATTACTTTTACCTATATGTAAAATAGGAAATGTTGTTTATACGAATTTTCTTACATATAAATTTTTCATTGGTTGAATTTGATACAAGATAATGTGTACAATTATGTTCAGTTGTTTTGATGAATAGAAAATATTAATAAAGTCGTTGATTCCATTATAAAATTAAAGCAAAAGCAAAACATGATATTATGGACAATAAAATCTAATATTTATTCTAGTATTACAGCTATAAGTAATCGGAATTTACTTATTATGATAGGAGCTATCTCTGTTAATTGATGTTATCCTTCAACTTCAGAATTTTTAACTTTATAAAACATTATTGCAAAATAATTATTTTTATTATCACTTATGCTCAAGAATATTCTTTTACTAACTTTAATATTATCTACATTTTAAGAAACAGATATCTATCTAGAAGAAGTAATGGATTGTGTATAAAATACATGTGAACCTGCAAGAAGCAATTGTGGTATTGATTATGATTGTAGGTAAATTGATAATTATAAAACTCATAGATTATCTTACAATAACTTTACCACTTGTATTTCATAATAGTCTAGTGAATCAGATTATATATAATGTAGAACCAATGGATTTATGACATGGGTTAAGGTGATGGATTGTTATAATGATTGTCATTATTTTGAACTTTTTGCAGTTCCAATTTGGTTATCAATGGCTCTCTTTTCAATATATATATGAGTTTTATTATTTATGTATAAACATTCATTTAAGTATTTTCTTAACAATGTCAATATAAAGGAATTTGCCTTCATTTTTTGGATCTATAAATTTCATATATTCATCTGCTTCATCTTCAGTAAATCTATATCCCATAGTCATCAATAATTCTTTAAAATGTTCACTCTAAATATATCCTGTGTTTTCTAAATCTACTGATTTAAATGCTATAAACTTAAATGAATTATTATACCTTCAATCAATTATTCTTCTCTATCTTATTCTCTTTTTTTCTTACTTACTAAGATAAATAAGGCATCTGATCTGATACCTTAACCTTCTGAATCTTCTAATTCTTTATATAATTCACTTAATTCTTATTCATCATAAACATAACCAATTGATGTTAATAGTTCTTATAATTCTGTAAAATTAATTCTTTCATCACTATCTCTATCAAACAATTAAAAGTTTTCTCTATATTTCTTATCTTCTGCATCTGAGAAAAGTCTATATCGAAATTAATGTAACACTTTTTAAAATTGTCATCAGAATACAAATGGCTTTTAAGTTCTTCAATAACAGTTCTAGGATCAATTTTAGGCAAACCTTCATTGAGTGACACTTTTTCTTTTTATCTGACTTAAGATAGATTGGTTTATGTTTAATTCATATTAAAAATAAAAATATAATAATTTTCATTATTATTATTTCATAATGTTATGTAGATTCTTATATATTTTAACTTAAATTAAGTATGGATCTATAATTATGATATAAATTACTTTATGTATTATTATTAATAATGTCAGATGTTGTAATAATTTCAGCTTTAGGTCCAACAATTTGTAATCCTTTATAAACCATAGACATAATAAATGAGTTTTATTTTAGAAATTCTAAAGATATAAGTCCATCAATATAGAAATTGAATACTATTATTTTATCCTTATCAAGATTTCTTAATGTAAATTTAACATTTTTATGACTTTACTAAACAAGAAATAAGTATAATAGATTTTATAATATAAAGTAAACAATATTGGAAATGGAAGTAATAATATCTGATTCATTAGATTCTGATTCAAATGTAATGTGTTTATCCTCAACTTCAGCTATAATATTCATAATGGTTAAACATTTATAAATAATTTAATTAAGAGAGAATATATCTAATAATTATTCTGTTTCTCTTCTATAATAATAGATTTGAAATGCATCCAATATCATTTATATTTTAGTATTCGAGATAATTTAAGCATTAACAGTACTTTCATTAATTTTGAAATATGGATTAGATTCAGAACTTTCAAGTATAGAACATAATTAATTTAATTATTTTTTTGTTCTAATATTTATTTTAATTAATTATTTAGTAAGTAATTAGATTTCTTGATCTTTTAATTTCAATTATATATTTTCTTCCATAATCTTAGATCTTTATTCCATTAACATAATAATTTCTTTATCAATTACACTATATTAAAAACATCTAACATTATATAATTATTGTGTTGAATTATCTTTAACCATTATTTCTAAAAATGTTGAATTCTTTTTTACAGCCACCATCATTTCATATAGATATTAACCAACATTCATAGAATCCATACCTGTACTATGTTATAAATTTATATTTCTAGATTTATATTAATTTTCACATTATTATTATTAATGTTTAGAATCATAAATAGAAAAATTATGTAAAAAATCTTTTAAATCTTAATTACCTTATATACCAATTCTTTATATTGCCAATTAATTTGCATATTTTAATTCAAATTGAAATGAATCTTAATCAAATTTAAAATGTATATAGACATCTTTTATTATTTCGTCTAAAATCTTTCCTTTAGATATAATAAGTATAATTACTAATTTCCTTCTCATTTTCATATTACAAAAATAATGCTCTTCTCACATATGTTTTACGATACATCAAAATGTATAAATAACATGAAACAGCGATGTAAATAATAGCCATTCCATCAAATTTAAAATAATATATTATGTAAATCAACCTTATTGTTATTACAATTGTGAGTGAAATAGTATTCCATATGAAATCATAATGTTCCAATAATGTTATGTTAATCATTGTAATTCCACATCCAGAAACATATAAATTATTATAATTGTTAGTATTCTTATCAACCATTAATTATATAGATGTCATTATTATATTATTAATAACAAATACACTACAAATATTCTTATTTCTCTTCATTCTACATACTATAGGAAATTGAATAATGAATATTATAGTGATTATTGATTCCAATATTCCATTTGTTAATTAACCCTATTGTAATTGTATAATTGCAACACCAAGATTAATCATTATTAACAATGGATGATATGATTTAAAATGTGATAAAGAAGACTCTTTTGTTGCTTCCTCATATTTTTGTTCTAATTCCAAAGGAAATCTCAAAGTAAATTTATTCATTATTTATAAATAATAGTCAGTAAATCTGAAAACATCACATTAAGGTTAATGAACTTATTTCAATTCAATTAAATGAACATAATCATACATATATATATAAGTATCAAGTTTTACTAATACTTCTATGCTTTTCAGGTGAAGCATACAGTTTTTCGAAATATTCAAAGAATTAATCACTCTCCATATCATCATGCATTAATTAACAAAAATCTTTATAAGTCATTTTTCCATCATGCATCATCAAATCTGTTAAAATCTTATCTGAAGCCATCTCTTCTCTACCTTCCCTCTTTAAAGCATGTTATATATCCTCTTTTGTTATATATTTCTTATCTTAAACATCAAAATAACGAAATAAACTCCATAATCTTTCTTTATTCAAATATTATTTCAAATCTAAAGTAGCAGCTAAAAATTAAGAATACTTAATCTACAAAGCTTACTACTCTTCAGGATTCATATTACGAATTAATTATTCAATTTCATTTTTTGTAGTCTCAAAACCTAATTTAGCCATTATTTAAGATAATTCTTATGGTGTAATAAATCCATCTTCATCTTTATCTAATTCCTTAAACTTTTAACTCAATTTATCAATCTATTTGTCATTTAATTAATTAATAAGTATTCTTAGTACTTCTCTTTTGAATTATTTACTCTTAGCATATCTTTTTAATCCTTAAATATTTGATGTATTAATAGGAGTGCAATCATTAGATTAAGGAATATTCTCCTATTTCTAATTTATTTTTATTTGTAATGGTTTACGAAATGCCTTCTTAGCCCATTCACTATTCAAAGCTTCTGAACAAGTTAATCTTTTCTCTGGATCTTTTTATAGTAATCCTTAAACTATCTTCTTACAATCTTAACTAATTCCTTTCCATTCTTCTTAAGGAAATGTTAGTGGTTTAAACTGTATCTTTTAAAGTAATTCTTTTAAGTGCTCTGAAAAGAAAGGTGGTTCAGAACACAATACTATGTACATGATACAACCAACTGCCCAATCATCACACTTCTAATTATATCTAAATTTATAATTTAATTTAATTACACTCCAGTGACAACTTCAGGAGCTACATATAATGGAGTACCAACTTAACTTTACTTCCTTTGTAATTATTTCTTTCTGTCTTTATCTGATTCCTTTAATTTCTTACTTAAACCAAAATCTATTATTTTGATTTCTGCATCATCTTTTTCATTTGATAATAATATATTCTCTGGTTTTAAATCTCTATGCATAACACCTTAACTATGCAAATATGCTATTGCTGAAAATAGTTTTCTCATTATAATGCTGGCCTTATTTTCATCAAAACTGCCTAAAAATTATTTTTCATATTTACCTTTTGATAATACTCTCTCAAGTAAATTACCTCCTTTACAATGTTCCATAACAAAATAAATAAACATGTCATCCTCATACATTTCATAGAATCTAACGATATTTGGATGATCCATTTTCCTCAATATTTCAAACTCTTCTTAAATCATTTATGTTTTATCAGCTACTCTCACTTTATTTATGGTCTTTATGGCATAAACTTATTCTCCATCAGGTCCATCTTTATATCCTACTTTTACTGTCCCAAAAGATCCCTTTCCAAGCACAGCTCCAAATCTATAAAATGTTCTAATGTTAGTAGTAAAATATGTTTTTTTTCTTGCGCTATGTCTTTAACTTGAACAACAGCCCATTTAAAATAAAAAATGTAAAATTTATTCACATATGTTAATATTTAGGCGGTGTTGATAATAAAGAATAAATGAAAAAATGTAAATGGATACTTAAAATTAGAAAGTACATCTACTATCGTTGATGAGAATTTAATAATAATTAAATGTAAACTAATTAAAATACCCTAACTAATTTTTTGCTTTTAAATAAAAAAGAATAGTTCCATTTTTAACTTATAAAAGAGAAGAGAGAGGATAAATTTAATACCAAAAGAATCATATAATAATTAAATGAAACATCTGAATAAATCTAATCCTGAAGTATGAAATTTCTATTGAAAATAATTAATTAGATCAGCATATCACAGAATTGATGAATGAATGTATTGATATCTATAGAAATAGTTTACAATATGATTTTAATAAGATACTCAACAATGTAATGAAATTGAGAAAATTACAGAATCTTGATTACAAATGGCAAACCTGTCTACTTTGTTTATGTTAAAATGATTTTATGGAGTATAACCATTAATCTAATGTAGATATATTCTTGTTCTATTGAATGAATAATTTGATAATGCATCTTAATTATAAATGGAAACAACTACAATATTCGTTAATATTTTTGATATTATGGATAAAATTCTAGATTTTACTTTTCCTCTAATATACCAATACTTAATTTACTAAGTCATTTAATAACTTACAATTTAGGAAGATTACAAATTTCAAAGAATGCTTTTTTAGTTGATTCAGTATGATTCAACTTAATTTTTAGTATGCTTATGCTTAAGGAAATGCATTATATGATTCATAAATAATGGTTCTAAAATTTAAATAGCATTATGGATTTAATAATTATAATTGAATCTTAATACAATAATTTGGTTGTTAAATATTTTAACAGCAAATAGAGAATTTCAAAACAAAAAATTGTTACAAGACAACAAATTAGATAATTAATATCATATAATGGCAATCTATGTTACTTATTTGTCATCTAATTAGTATAAATTTAAATCAATAATATCATTGACTAAATTATGCAATTTGAAGGAGAGTTTTGCTGATACCCTAACTAAAATCCCTTATGTGATTGAGAAATTTATATCATTAACATTATAGACAGAATAATAGTAAATTATAAATAGAGTAAATTTATATTATAGTATTATAAAATACAAAAAGTTTGAGTTAAATAAAATTATGAATAATTATAGACAATGAAATATTAATTTCCGCTTTGAATTTTTTATGGATCTTATTATAATCTATTAATTATTATACATTCTAATTTTAGATATTTGGAGATGATACATAATGAATCAATATTTAAGATATATTGTTTAAATTATACTAAAATATAAAAAATCAAGAAGTGAGAAATTTGATTGATGAATGTATAAATATTGTGGAAAAGACTCAGAATGATATTTACAATTATTTATACATTAATTTTATAAATAAATAATGGTTTATTCAATTGGTTAAGCCAAAAGATCAGATCCTGCTCTCAAAACATTTGCTCCTGCTCCCAATGCGTATCTTCCAAAATTAGTATCCAAATTGTAATCTCCATAATGGACGTAAACCAAACTTATTAGAGTAGTATTGGAGGAGCAGCTTAAAGGGCAGGTAGATCAACATCAATCGGACCAGGACCTGGAAAATATGGATATCAATCTAAAATGATAGAAGGACCTAAATACACTATAAGTGGAAAACATTAAGTGAAATAAGTTTCATAATCTCCAGGACCAGGAAACTATAATGATGAAAGTTTCAGTTCTGTTTACAAAAAATAACCTATGTATACTTTGGGTCTAAAGCATCATACATCATAAAAGGATATCATTCCTGGTCCTGGACAATATGATTTAAACAGTTCTTACATTTCTAACAACTCAATTAAATTTCCAACATAACCAAGATTAACATCTTTAGAAAATGTAATATCTCCTGGACCTGGATGTAATTTACAATATTAATTTTAGAATACAATATAGACAAGGCAGTCAAGTTATTATTAGAGAAATCTTAACCTTCTTGGGTGATAGGTACATCTTAAAGATCACCAGAATTAAGGAAATAAGACTTATAACCAGGACCTGGAGCATACCATTTAAAAAGTCTACTCAATTTATCTAAAAATTTCACAATTAAATAGAAATTGAGTACTAAAGATTATAGTTCCAATTAACCTGGTCCTGGAGCATATGATTAGGATATTTCATCAATTAAATCTACTTATCCATCCTGTAAGATTGGTTCAGAATTGAGAAACTCATAAAATCTAATGGATAAATTAGTACCTGGACCTGGATAATATTATAGAGAGTAATTAATTGATAAATATAATATAGAAGATTATATAGTCTAAGTTCATTATAGAAATCAGCTCCTTCATTCAAGATGCCTTAAGCATTAAGGAAAGATATCAATGATTCTGTAACAATTACTCCTGGACCAGGATAATATTCATTACCATAGAATTAAAATACATAGATGGTCTCTATGAAGGGATCAAATTATAATCCAAATATATCAGCATATATTCCAGGACCTGGATAATATAATCCAGATGATTCAGTATGTAAATATAAAGAAGGTTCAGTAAAAATTGTGCCAGAACACAAAACTAAATAATTATTAACATAGTATTAACCAGGACCTGGATAATATTCTGTTAAATCATCTCTCGAAGGTCCTTAATGGGGATTCTCAAAAGACATTCGTTAAGGATTAATAAAAAAAGATATAATTCCTGGTCCAGGTGCTTATAATATCCCTCCTAAATTTAATGATGTTCCTAAGTATCTATTGCCTAAATAATTTTGAAACAATAAAAAATATTATTAAAATTATATAATGGAAAAAGAATTAGCTCATAAATTGGATGTGATTCTAAAGAAATTAAGTGATGATGTTCTAAAGATAGAACAAGATAAATTATAACATGTGTTTCATTCTGTTCATACTATATCTTGGATTGTAATTTAATCAATTGTACCTTACATCAGAGAAGAATTTAGAGGTTAGACTATAAAAGTGTTTTAATTGATTACATAATTAATAAAGTGTCTTAAAGATAATGATTTTGATGAAGTGACTAGAAAATTGTTTTAATAAAGAGCTTAAAGAAGAAGATCTCTTAGATTAATAAATTGTTCATTATGTGATAATTATCGTAAGATGCCATCTAAATAAGATACTAAATAAGCACATTATAAGAAGTATTTAGATTAATTGAAAAGAGATGGAGTTGATTTAAATTCTAAAATGGAACATATAGTACTGGAAAGAAAAATAAGAAAATTATCAGATGATGATGAATAATTTGTCTATAAGACATCAAAAGCATGTTAAGTTGAATTAGATGAATTATTACTTAATTAAAATACTAATCAAAATTAAAATCTAACAAATAATAAAACAGATACTTTTGATGCTGAAACTCAAACTGATACTATTCCATCAAAATTCTCATTATAAGCTATATCAGAATTGAGAAATCATTTTGTTAATTATTTTTATTTGCATTCTTAATATGATAATGTAAAGTCAATTATTGAAGAAGGAATAAAGGCATGTCAAAAATAAACTGATATATTTTAAGATGTGAATTAAGATACTCCTGTTTTAAAAGTTAAATATTTTGCTTAATAATCTTTGTAACATGTGACTTAAGTGTTATAATAAAAAATAACTTAGATTGAAACAACTAAAGAATTTAAATCAAAAGAATTAAAAGAGAATTTACCTCCTTTAAGTGATATAATTAAGTAAGTATAATTACAAGAACATAAGAGAAAAGCAATAGAGGCAGGAATTATTGAATATGATCCTGAGTTTGATCCAGAATTATTATAAAATAAGAGAATTGAATTTAGAGTTAAGGAAATTAATGGTTAATAAGTAATAGAAGAAGTTGTAGTAGATGTTGAGAGTGGAGAAGTAGTTAAAACTAGAGCCAGATAAAGTGATCCTCAATAGGAAATTATGTTAGAATAAGAAGAATTAATTAAATAGATAAAATCAAAGGAATAAACAATAGATGAAAATGAATGGATTGTTGCTAAATATGGAAATTAAAAAGTGAAGATTGTTTAAAAATCAGATGATGTTACTTAATATGAAGTTAATACAGCATAGACTAAAAAGATTGTTAGAGTTAAATCTGTAGATGGAAATAAATAATTAGAAGAAGAATGGATTGCATAATAAGCAGATGGAAAACATTAATATAAAGTATATTAATAAAATGGATAATTGTTATATGAAGATAAAGGTGAATCAGTAGGAATTAGATTATCAGCAAAGAGATTAGAACATAAAGAATCTATAATAGAAGAAAGGACAACTGAAAATGGAAGTGTAATGAGAATTTTAGAGAAATAAAAATATGGTTAAGATACTTTAAAGATTATTAAAAGAAATAGTTAACATGAAATTGTTGAATCAATTACTAAATAAGTTTTAAAAGATGATAATGGTGAAATGTATTAACATGAAGAAGAAGTTAAATAAGGAGGACTCAAAATTATGAGAAAGATATATGTTAATGGTGATGATTAAAGTAAGAAAATTGATGAAATAACTATTCATCCAAATGGAAGGAGATCTAGTATTGTAATGAAATAATATAAAGATAAAACAGAAGCTGTTTATAATGATGAATTTGGAGATGAAATTTAAGTTACTAAATATACGTATATAAATGAAAAGGGTTTATAAGTTGAATGTCAAAGAAAAATGAATATGAGAACTAAAGAAGTATAAATGTAAAAGACTTTTAAAAATGAAGATGGTAAATAAACTATTGAAACTACTATAACTTTAGATGGATTAGAAATAGGAAAATAAATAATTATTTAAATAGGACCTAATGAAAGAATTGAAAAAATAACAAAAAATGGTAAGACAATTGAATAGAAGGTTATAATTGATGAATAAGGATAAGAATCTATTCATATGGTTGATCATGAAAATAATATGAAAATTTAAACAACTAATTTTACTAAGAATTCTGTTGAATATTAATAATAAACAATTAATTTATCTAATGGTGCTAAAAGACATATACATTAAAGATCATATTTTGATGAAAATAATGAAAAGATAGTTGAAGAAGATAGAGTTGATGAATTTGGATAAAGGATTATAATTAAAAAGAGAATTAATGCTTTAGGTGAAGAGATCATTTAAGAATTTGAAGTTGTAGAAAATGATGGATTTAATCCTGAATTAAGATAAATTAGATAATCATAAAAAAGATTACCACGTGCAGAAATATAATCTGTTATTGTTATAGATATAGGAATATAAACAGAAGGTTAAATTCCATTATTTACACAAACTTAAGAGTAATTTTAATAAAAGAAATAGAATACATAAATTATTATTGATAAACCTGATTTTAATGAATTAGACAAAGAAGCTTTTAAAAAACTATAATAAGGTAAATCCAAAAATGATCCATAATTTTAAGAGGCAGTCAATTAAATTAAAAAATACTTTAATAAAGGAGATGGAGAAGAATTAAAATAAGAAGAATTTAATGAATATTTATCAAAGTTGAGATAAAATCATTAAAGATAATGTGGTGAATAATGTTCTCATTTATTGAGATTTTATGCTAAATTAGGTTTCTTGATATAAAAATCAGCTTTGAATAGACAAGTTTATAAATTACAAAAAGTATAACTGTAGGCTAAAGAATCACTTTGACTTGACTTAAATAATTTATATTAATATGTTATAACAACAATAAACTAAGCTTTTTTAAAAATATGATGCACCTATTCCATAGGATAATATCCTATTCAAAACTTAATTTTTCAAGATGAGTAATCATAAAGAAGTCACTCTACTTTTATGCAGTGATGATTTCATATACAAAATTAGTAATAAGAAAACTAAAGTATACATACTTAAACTCAATTGCGAAGTGAGATTCTCAGTTAAAGCTGAATAAACTTCAAAATAAATACATAAACAAATGAAAGGTGATGAATTTCATACATAAATATACAAATTTACTCTTGAAAGGGATGATTGTGATTCTGTTGAATTTTACAACTTCAATTTCTAAACTATGTATTGGTTTGATCACCTCAGAAACAAATTACACATGTTAGATTATTAAGCACATTATGAAATAAACAAATTAATTGGTAAAGGATCATTTGCATCTGTCTATGAAGCCAAAGGAAAAAATGATTAATAATTTTATGCTGCCAAAGCATTTTATAAAAAACAAGTGTTTTAAGATCTAAAAGGAAGGGATTAAGTAGAAAATGAAATTAGTGTGATGCGTAAACTCAACCATCCAAATTTAATCAATTTAATTGAAGTCTTTGAAAATAAAGCACAAATCTATTTAATTTTGGATTTGGCAAGGGGAGGCACACTTGAATATGCTTTAAAAGTCTTTAATGCCCCAGTTCCATTTTTAAGTACAAAAGTGATATTTAGATAAATCCTTGAGGGTGTACAATATATTCATGATTAGGGTATAATTCATAGAGATTTAAAACCAGATAATATTTTGTTTAGAGATTTTATTCCTCTTAAAAGGTATGGACTCATTAATGTGAGTAATAATATTATGATCAGTGATTTTGGAATTGCCACTCCTAAATAATAAAAAATGGCTGTATATTAATATTGTGGTACTCCAGGTTATATGGCACCTGAAGTATTTTTAACAGAAAATGATAATAATGCAACTTATGATGAGAAATGTGATGTTTTCTCTTTAGGTTGTATACTCTATTATTTACTTATTGGTCATCCTCTTTTTGGATAACCAGTTAAACAGACAAATATGGAAATGAAGATTGATTATCTTCAAATAGAAAAAGATCTTAATTAAAGTCATTCATTAACTTTACTCTTGCAAAAGATGTTATCACCAAATCCTTAAGACAGACCCTCTTGTAGAGAAATACTTGAATCAAAAATAATGGAAGTAGAGTATGGAGAAGATGGAATACCTTTGTTTAGAGATTTTTAGAGACCGAAAAGTAGTCCACCTAAAAGAATGTAGCCATTACATCCAGAAATTGATAGATCGTAATATTGTATAATAATTTTAGTAAGAGATAGAGTGTGTTAAATCCAAAGATGATTAAATTGATGCCAATTCTTGAAGAGAAATAAGAATTACGAAACTCTGGAAAGGATAAAACTACAATTGTCACTAAATCAAGAAATTCTCATTTTGATGATGAGAGAACTCCAGCATAAAGAGTAGCTGCAGCTAGAAGATCTTCTGCTTATGTTCCATCTAGTAATTAGAATAGCAGGAAATGATCATAATCCTATATTTTTGTAATCATAATTATATTTTTATGTTATAAGAGAAAGCAGAAATGAAATCTGTTAAATTTTCAAAAGAAGATTATCCAGTAATCATGAAGAGCCTTGATGAATAAGATGTAATCAATAAGAGATTAAACCAAATAGTTTGAAACCTTTATCTCCTTCTTTAGAAATACCGAACTCTTAGTTGAATGTGAGTATATGCAAACACGCTCCAAATAAAAATTAGCACCTACCGAAAGTGCTTAATTTTAAATTGGTAGAAGAAACGTGTACGTTCAAACAACTGAAATGATAAAAATAAGGATACAGAATGAATGGGCGGGATTCATAAAAGGTCGAATTTATTACAGTGTTAAAGACATTGAAGAAAGGGATGGTGATTTCTAAAAGCTTGAAGAATGTACACCTAAAGACCTTTTTTTAACTGACTTAACATAATGGTTTCTATCAACTTCATTCATATAAAAAATAAAAGTTATTCCAATTGATTAGTCTAGTGAAGAGACAACAGAATTACAGGATGATGAATACTATACACGTGCAGAATATAATACATAACTATAGTAGTTTAACCCTCCTATAAAAGAATGGACTACATATTGCTATTGTAAAAAATTATATGATCCTGGTGAACGCTATATTTAATGTGATTCTTGTAATGAATGGGTTCACTATACTTGCAGTGGGAAAAGTGACAAAGAACTTAAAAACATTTCTAAGTTAAGGTTCATTTGTCTTCCATGCACAGAAGCAAATAGGAAGAAAAAATAATCTAATATTTAAGAGAATTCAACATAAGATGGTGATTCTACTAAGATTAGATCCTTTAATACTACATATGGAAAAAAGAAGAAATGAGATTAATTTTATATTCAAGACATATATATCCATATTATCATATATCATCCTTTACATATTAAAAATCTGGAGTCTCAACTAAAGTAAGTTGTCTAATTTATTTTCTTTTAACTTTCTTAATTCTTGTATAGTCATTTTCATCATCAAAAAAGACCTTTTTAGATGGGAAATATTGTTTGAACAGTTATTTATCTACTTTAGCTAAATTCATTGCAATAGATATTATCATTTCATTTTCTAAGTTTTCACGTTGTCTTGGAAATGTTCCTGCTCTCATTTTATATAAAACTAAAAATTTATGTAAATTATCCAAAAAATCTATTTTTGATTATGGTAATGTGCCGTAATGATTTAATTCATCTTCAAATACACTATAGATTTCTTCTTCATCATTTTCAAACAAAGAGAATTCAATAACAGATTTTACTTGTAACCTTTTCGTTTGCATAGGCGATAAATCAGATAAAGAAAAATTAGATAAAGTTTTGCAAGATTCTTAACTCTATGATATTGTCTATACAATTTAAATTTGAGCAGGTCTACGTTTTCTTAGAGCCAGAACTATTTATGGTACTTCCCTTTGATTATAAGAAACACTTCCATATGGTTAAATTTCTAAAGCTTTGTCTGTTTATTCTAAATCATAAGATGTAATCGACAATCCAGGACTCACTCCCATTTATGAATTAGATTTTCTAGAATCATAGAAATCAATTTCTTAATCTATTTCATTAGAAGAAAACAACTTCTAATAACTCAACTAATCTATGTCCATCTCTAATTCTTTATTAGAATGTGTCTATGGTCCTTAATTTTAAACCTCTTCTATTGGTATATTTGGATCAGAAAGAGCTTAAGTAAATTTAAAAATAGACTTAGTCTTTTGAGTTTCACAAATTTTTAATTTTATCATAATCAATACTCAGAATGATCGCCCAAATTCACATAATTCAACTCTTTCTATAATAATTTATCATTACTAATTCCATTTAGTTAGAATTGATATTTTTTTATAATTAATAATCCTGTCATAACCTTAAATGAAGATAAAATAAATGAATTTAAAAAGCAGAATTTGTAAAATCAAATATTTAAATATAATTTTTGAAAATGTTTGTAAACAACTTAATGAAATAATTATGTAAACCATACATATTTCATTATATTATATACTTTTTTTAATATTGAAAACTATAATTATCTCAATTTTATTGAGAATCAAATTTGAATGAATTTATTAATTCACATAATATCAACTCTATTAACAATAGATATAATTTACAACTTATATTATTATATATTTCTTTATAAATTTTCTAATAGAAATACCATATGAAGATTCAATTCTAAACTATTTAAACCAAGGTCTATATAATATTATTTTGAACTTATAGGAGACTTAATTGAGACTAATATTTCATCTTTGAAACTTGTAAGTTGTTAGGATTAGATTTAAAAATTTCTATATACTAGTTTATTTTTTACTAAATTAGAAATTGAATATAATTAATAGACTTGAAGAAAAATCTCTTATTCAATGTGTAATCAAAAACAATATATTAATATAGATTCCTATATTCCTTTTTCTGATTTCTTATAAGAAAGATATTTTCAAAAAATATTAAATTAATTTTATCATTTATGAATAGCCAAGATGATTATAATTTTTAAGGCTCTTATAATATTATTGCAAAAAATATTTGTGTAGGGTAAATATTATTATATACTTAGTTGCCAAATGGAATAATAGGTGCAAAAATTGCAAATTTAAAAGGAGTTGACTCTTGAAGTATTCCTTACTTTTACCTCTACCAAAACAAAAAAAAAGATATATCAAGCCAATTTATTTAATGATATTAAATCAAAAACACACTATTTGCAAAAAGAAGACTAAAATTATTTAATTGAATGCCTAGAACAATTTGAAGAAAATCTTATTAATCAATTTTGTTAGAAATAGAAGCCACTAAAAGAAATTGTATCAATATTGAATACTACTGAATGATTATCTTATTCAATATATATAGATTAATAAATTATACTACCAAATATTGATTGAATAATTATCAATAATCATATTGGGAATTCTAATCTGCTATATCAAATACATATTTTACAATTCTTTATATATGATGCTAATGTTCTTTAGTATCTTGAAGTATATAATTTTCAAAAATTTTAAAAAGATAATCATGATATTCATAAGATCATGTCATTTATATTTTTAGTTAATTCTGAAAATCATAAAATTAAATGATAGCAATTCTTTCCATAAAAAGTCTATTATTTTTTATAGAACAATCATTTTCAAAGTTGCTTAATTGTTTTAAAAAATAATAGTTTCTTCTAATAATATTATATAATGTATATAATAAGAATTTTTGATAAATGCTCAGAAATTATGCTTATTTCTTTTGCAATATTAATTTGCTTGTTAAAATATTTAAAATATTTTAAACTATTTTCTCATAATTTAGCAATATCTATTTTGTCAATTTTATAAAAATTTTAATGTTTGATATACACATTATTTAGTAATAATATTACACTTTAATTGGAATTGAAATACTTTAGTTTATGTTTTTAAGAATTCATGTGATAATTTAAAATCTCTCTCTAATAGTCTAAAGAATATATAAAATGTATTTGTAAAATAAAAGAAGATTTTTCATAATCAAAGAATCATCAATAATTTGATAAAATTAGAAAGCTAATATTATTTTATAATAAATTTAGTTTTCTACTTTCATTTTCTTTTAATATTTAAATCAGAATATTTTATTAAATCATTTATAAAGATATTGAATTTTATGAAAATTAATATAACCAACTTTAATAATATTTTTAAAATATATTATCTGATTTTATTATATAATATCATCTTTAGTTAATTGGTCTTAATTTTAAAGAATTATCTTATTGTACAAAAGCAATTTCCTTGTTAGTTGTTGATATCTCGTTATTAGTTATTTCAAAATTCCTTAAAATATTTGCAAGGATTATCTGGTAAATTATCGTTACTAAACTTGACCCAACACAATTTCTTGGTCCATTTGAAAATGGTATAAAAATATAATTATTGTTCTCTTTAATTGATTAAGATTAGAGCCATCTCTAGTAATCGAATTCTTTAGGATTATCATAATATTTTTCTTATAAATTAGTAATTGAATAATCTATCATTACAATCCAATCTATGAATGATTAAAAATATATCTACCTCTATCTAATTTTAGATCTTTTATGAAGTGAGATTTTTACACCTTTCTAACAATAGGAAGAGGATTAATGAATCTCAACACTTCATTTAAGAAAGCACTTAAGTGTACTAAGCTCTTTAATTCTTGAGTTTGAATAATTTCTACTTTGCAAAAGCTCAATATTTCTTATCTTAATTGATTCTAGATTTCTGGATACTCTGCCAAATAGTGTAAACTTGCTTAAATTATTTAAGTGGTTGTTTAACTGCCTATTTTAAAGAAAGTAAAGAACTGTTATTTTATTTCCTCAAAAGATATTCTATTGTTCCCTTTTTTAGATTGAAGATAAGCTTAAATATATAAACTAAGGAAATCATCTGGAATTTGGGATATTTCATTTTCATCTTCATCCAATTTAAGTTCATGTTAAACTATTCTTTTTTGAATAATTTTTTCAATTGAGAACTTAATATTATTTATTTTTGTTTGAATGATTTATTCTTCTGCATTAGGAAACATTTTTAAAGCTTAGACTCCAAAAAGAATTGTTTTACATAAATAATAGGGTTTATTACTAAGTTTTGATAAGGATTAAAACAAATCTATAGTTTCTAGTCCTATACATTTGTGATTAATCTACAATTTATTTGCATCTTATCCAAAAAAACTATAAAGATAAATATCACTGATTATTTTCAATATTAGACTTTTAATATTATCATTAGATTAATCATATTACTTGATATGTTTTTGAATAATCTCATTTATGGTTGGTAAATTACTTTTGAGTTTCTCAATATCAAAATACTAAATAAATAATTCCCGTTATTTCTTCCACTTTTCTCCCTATTGAAACATTATTCCTTCATCCAATAATTGGCTTGATTATAAATATTATTTTACTTTGAATTTAAATCATTAATTTAAGAATAATTNTACAAAAGCAATTTCCTTGTTAGTTGTTGATATCTCGTTATTAGTTATTTCAAAATTCCTTAAAATATTTGCAAGGATTATCTGGTAAATTATCGTTACTAAACTTGACCCAACACAATTTCTTGGTCCATTTGAAAATGGTATAAAAATATAATTATTGTTCTCTTTAATTGATTAAGATTAGAGCCATCTCTAGTAATCGAATTCTTTAGGATTATCATAATATTTTTCTTATAAATTAGTAATTGAATAATCTATCATTACAATCCAATCTATGAATGATTAAAAATATATCTACCTCTATCTAATTTTAGATCTTTTATGAAGTGAGATTTTTACACCTTTCTAACAATAGGAAGAGGATTAATGAATCTCAACACTTCATTTAAGAAAGCACTTAAGTGTACTAAGCTCTTTAATTCTTGAGTTTGAATAATTTCTACTTTGCAAAAGCTCAATATTTCTTATCTTAATTGATTCTAGATTTCTGGATACTCTGCCAAATAGTGTAAACTTGCTTAAATTATTTAAGTGGTTGTTTAACTGCCTATTTTAAAGAAAGTAAAGAACTGTTATTTTATTTCCTCAAAAGATATTCTATTGTTCCCTTTTTTAGATTGAAGATAAGCTTAAATATATAAACTAAGGAAATCATCTGGAATTTGGGATATTTCATTTTCATCTTCATCCAATTTAAGTTCATGTTAAACTATTCTTTTTTGAATAATTTTTTCAATTGAGAACTTAATATTATTTATTTTTGTTTGAATGATTTATTCTTCTGCATTAGGAAACATTTTTAAAGCTTAGACTCCAAAAAGAATTGTTTTACATAAATAATAGGGTTTATTACTAAGTTTTGATAAGGATTAAAACAAATCTATAGTTTCTAGTCCTATACATTTGTGATTAATCTACAATTTATTTGCATCTTATCCAAAAAAACTATAAAGATAAATATCACTGATTATTTTCAATATTAGACTTTTAATATTATCATTAGATTAATCATATTACTTGATATGTTTTTGAATAATCTCATTTATGGTTGGTAAATTACTTTTGAGTTTCTCAATATCAAAATACTAAATAAATAATTCCCGTTATTTCTTCCACTTTTCTCCCTATTGAAACATTATTCCTTCATCCAATAATTGGCTTGATTATAAATATTATTTTACTTTGAATTTAAATCATTAATTTAAGAATAATTTTCATGGTTGATTAACATGTATTGATAATAGTCAGGATCAATGATTAAGATTTAAACAGTCCAAGCGAAATTATGTACAATAAACTTAACAGTTTTTGGTATCGATTGTCTCCTCATCTTCTCAATGAAAGATGAGCTATGCAATCCCAAAATTTAATATATTCCAAACTAGATTCTACAAGCTGACCCAAATTATAATTTTAATTTCATCATAGCAATCAAAGGCTTGATTAAAAACAAACAGAACAGCATCCCAAAAAGTATTAGTAATATTTAGATTAACATTTAAACTTATTTAATATAATTATTAAAACTTCTATAATTTAATACGAATTACAGGTTATAATATAAAAAGAATCAAATAATTTATCTTATATCTACATTGTTATTCATTTTATTTAATTTTCTTTGCGTCTTGATACTTTAAATTTCTAACTTTCAAATCATAAATCATTATACTCCTATGTAGCTTTTGGATTTTATTTTACTTTTAAGATGAACAACAAAACATTTCTAATTATANTACAAAAGCAATTTCCTTGTTAGTTGTTGATATCTCGTTATTAGTTATTTCAAAATTCCTTAAAATATTTGCAAGGATTATCTGGTAAATTATCGTTACTAAACTTGACCCAACACAATTTCTTGGTCCATTTGAAAATGGTATAAAAATATAATTATTGTTCTCTTTAATTGATTAAGATTAGAGCCATCTCTAGTAATCGAATTCTTTAGGATTATCATAATATTTTTCTTATAAATTAGTAATTGAATAATCTATCATTACAATCCAATCTATGAATGATTAAAAATATATCTACCTCTATCTAATTTTAGATCTTTTATGAAGTGAGATTTTTACACCTTTCTAACAATAGGAAGAGGATTAATGAATCTCAACACTTCATTTAAGAAAGCACTTAAGTGTACTAAGCTCTTTAATTCTTGAGTTTGAATAATTTCTACTTTGCAAAAGCTCAATATTTCTTATCTTAATTGATTCTAGATTTCTGGATACTCTGCCAAATAGTGTAAACTTGCTTAAATTATTTAAGTGGTTGTTTAACTGCCTATTTTAAAGAAAGTAAAGAACTGTTATTTTATTTCCTCAAAAGATATTCTATTGTTCCCTTTTTTAGATTGAAGATAAGCTTAAATATATAAACTAAGGAAATCATCTGGAATTTGGGATATTTCATTTTCATCTTCATCCAATTTAAGTTCATGTTAAACTATTCTTTTTTGAATAATTTTTTCAATTGAGAACTTAATATTATTTATTTTTGTTTGAATGATTTATTCTTCTGCATTAGGAAACATTTTTAAAGCTTAGACTCCAAAAAGAATTGTTTTACATAAATAATAGGGTTTATTACTAAGTTTTGATAAGGATTAAAACAAATCTATAGTTTCTAGTCCTATACATTTGTGATTAATCTACAATTTATTTGCATCTTATCCAAAAAAACTATAAAGATAAATATCACTGATTATTTTCAATATTAGACTTTTAATATTATCATTAGATTAATCATATTACTTGATATGTTTTTGAATAATCTCATTTATGGTTGGTAAATTACTTTTGAGTTTCTCAATATCAAAATACTAAATAAATAATTCCCGTTATTTCTTCCACTTTTCTCCCTATTGAAACATTATTCCTTCATCCAATAATTGGCTTGATTATAAATATTATTTTACTTTGAATTTAAATCATTAATTTAAGAATAATTTTCATGGTTGATTAACATGTATTGATAATAGTCAGGATCAATGATTAAGATTTAAACAGTCCAAGCGAAATTATGTACAATAAACTTAACAGTTTTTGGTATCGATTGTCTCCTCATCTTCTCAATGAAAGATGAGCTATGCAATCCCAAAATTTAATATATTCCAAACTAGATTCTACAAGCTGACCCAAATTATAATTTTAATTTCATCATAGCAATCAAAGGCTTGATTAAAAACAAACAGAACAGCATCCCAAAAAGTATTAGTAATATTTAGATTAACATTTAAACTTATTTAATATAATTATTAAAACTTCTATAATTTAATACGAATTACAGGTTATAATATAAAAAGAATCAAATAATTTATCTTATATCTACATTGTTATTCATTTTATTTAATTTTCTTTGCGTCTTGATACTTTAAATTTCTAACTTTCAAATCATAAATCATTATACTCCTATGTAGCTTTTGGATTTTATTTTACTTTTAAGATGAACAACAAAACATTTCTAATTATATAATAATATAAATTTAGATATTGCCACTATACTAGTCATTCATTGAAAAATGTAAAAGAGTGTATAAAATCAGATTATCAATATTTTAATCTTTAAATTTATTAATTTAAAAATGAAGATCAATTAGTGTTTCTAATTTTGCTATTTTAGTTGTATTTACTAAATAAAATAACAACACTATTGTTCCTTTTTCCATAAAGTTAAATTTACTAACAGTTCCTTAATCTTCAAATTAATAACAGAATCAATCTTATTTGAATTCTTGATTAATATTCCTTCTCCAACCTTCTTTTTCTTATACATTTTATATTTTGTGATATTTAAATTTGGATCAATGATGAACTTATTTTTTAAGAATATATTAGAAGTTCTGGAACATGAACAATAAATTCATCTTAATAATCTTCTATAAGTTTTAAATAATTTTCAAAATTAAAGCTTCTGTTATTTAAATATTGATTTTGAATCATTTATTTATTTCAATATTATCATTATCATTATCTCTTTTAAACTTTAAAGAGAATTAATGGTTAGTAAAATTTTTAGATTCAATATTTGAATTAGAAATAAACAGAAATTATGTAAAATCAAAAAAATCTATACTATTTTTACAATCATCTACAGTGTTTATTTTATATTCAATCTATTAAATAGTTTTTAAAATAAGTAATTTGTATTTTATAAAATATAGTTTTTGTGTAATATATATGAATATATTTTTTTAGATCTATGTAATCCTATATTTTACCAATTTAAATAAAAACTATTTATCTAATTCACTGTGCACTTCACTACTTTTTAAATAAATTTCTTAAATAACAACATAATTTTTCTGAATTGCTTTACAAAATTTTTAACATTCAATCTTTACTCTGCGTTAATCTTATTATTAATACACTCTCACAGATTCTACCAAATAAAATTTTGCACTGCCATGTTTGTATTTTTAGGGTTAGGTTAGTGAGAAAACGTTGGGAAGAAATATGATATTAGTTCCTACTTCAATATGATCATCTGAAAGTTTTCTTTCCAAATCCATAAATTCATATTTGCATTAAATTTCTTTCTTAACTTTTTCATTAAATTTATTGTTCTTTAATTTCCTTTATAAATTGTTAATAATCAAAAATTTTTTTCATCATAAGTAATAATTCTGACATTTTCACTGGTTTTTAACAGATTATGAAGATTAACTGTTACATTTTTATAATCTACAATTTAGCCTTTCTAATTAAATTAAACATTTTTATAATCTTCAATTTATTATATCTTTTTGTATTCAATAATTGTGCCTACAATAATTTAAAGTTTCAAAAGATGAATAAATTAATATTATTGATAAGCCATATACATTAAATTAAATCCTTTATTGATATTCTAAGAGCTCTTAAAACAAAGTAATTAAAAAATGTTTCCCTTTAAACTTAACAGGATTAATGAGAAATTATCATCATTAATCATATAATAACTTGGTAACTCCTAGTATATATAAACATCGAAAAAGATATATCGTTTCTTTAAGTGAGATCTTGACACTTTTATTAATTTAATGTGTATAAACCATTTAACTTTAATAAATAGGATCAAGATATCTTAATTTGAGAATTTAGGTCAGTATAAAGATAATGTAATAGATTAGTCATGATTTAAAGAATTCTATTTTTATAGTTTAATCCATGACCACATTAATATTAGATTATTTATTTGAATTATCTGAAATGGAAACAAATTCAGTTGCATTTTTGAAAATATAATCTTGTTGTAATTTTTTAGAGATGGGTTTAAAAAATGTTCAAATTTTATAATAATTCGGTTATGATTTTTAAGATTTTGCTTAGATTAAAAAGTTAAAACTAATGAGATTGATACTTTGTTAGATTTAGGATTTTTAAATTTATTTTAAATCTGATAAAAAAAAGAACTTATAATTAGATATTTTTTCTAACTTAATTCATTATCTTTAAATAATGATCCTTTGAATATTAAGCAAATTAATTTATTTTAATTTCTAATGCAATAAAATTAAATCAAAAGGAACAATATCATTACTTTTTTTGATGATCTATCAAAATATTTGTATATTTTCTTAAAATGTTAAGGAGTTAATTTAAACTAATAAATCAGTAGTAGATTTTAATACTCTATTTAAAGATCAATAAAAGTTGATTTTTTTTTGTACAGTTTCTGACAATGATAGTGGAATGAGCCAAGAAATTTATAGATGACACTCAGAAATTTTATCACCCAAGAAAACGATAGTAACACAAATAAGTAGAATATTGGTTTAAACTGTTTGAAATGAGTTTTTTTAGGATTGATCATCAGTAAATAGTTGTGCAGGTACATAAGGCCATTGTAGTATATTTTTCTATAATAAGTTGGAGATGGTTAAAAATTTTATTCTCCATTTATAAAAATTATGATAGATTGCATCTCTTCTAACTCCATTGTATAAAATAATTAACATGAGTAATTGATTAAATATTCTAATTGTTGATGAGTCATTTAATAATATATTACTTAAAATATCATAATCAAAAATAGAAATCAATAAAGGGGATAATGATTTAGGGGAATGACTAAATGTTATGAAATTGTATTTTTGGATATTAATATACCTGTAATGAATGAATTATAATGTATTATAATTATTGCATTAGGATTTTATCTTAAATTATTATGAATTGTAAATGAATATAAAGCATTAAATATATAGATTCTCAAAACTCAACTCATTTAATAAATATCCAAAATATTAATTATAATCAGGATTTATGATTTTAATAAAATTAATTATAAAAATCGTTCCAACTAAATGATATGGTTAACTCTACTATGGATTTCATAGGGATATATAATTTTTGAAGAGAGTACATTTAGATCATTTAGTGTAATAAACAAAGGATTTATTTNTGACCACATTAATATTAGATTATTTATTTGAATTATCTGAAATGGAAACAAATTCAGTTGCATTTTTGAAAATATAATCTTGTTGTAATTTTTTAGAGATGGGTTTAAAAAATGTTCAAATTTTATAATAATTCGGTTATGATTTTTAAGATTTTGCTTAGATTAAAAAGTTAAAACTAATGAGATTGATACTTTGTTAGATTTAGGATTTTTAAATTTATTTTAAATCTGATAAAAAAAAGAACTTATAATTAGATATTTTTTCTAACTTAATTCATTATCTTTAAATAATGATCCTTTGAATATTAAGCAAATTAATTTATTTTAATTTCTAATGCAATAAAATTAAATCAAAAGGAACAATATCATTACTTTTTTTGATGATCTATCAAAATATTTGTATATTTTCTTAAAATGTTAAGGAGTTAATTTAAACTAATAAATCAGTAGTAGATTTTAATACTCTATTTAAAGATCAATAAAAGTTGATTTTTTTTTGTACAGTTTCTGACAATGATAGTGGAATGAGCCAAGAAATTTATAGATGACACTCAGAAATTTTATCACCCAAGAAAACGATAGTAACACAAATAAGTAGAATATTGGTTTAAACTGTTTGAAATGAGTTTTTTTAGGATTGATCATCAGTAAATAGTTGTGCAGGTACATAAGGCCATTGTAGTATATTTTTCTATAATAAGTTGGAGATGGTTAAAAATTTTATTCTCCATTTATAAAAATTATGATAGATTGCATCTCTTCTAACTCCATTGTATAAAATAATTAACATGAGTAATTGATTAAATATTCTAATTGTTGATGAGTCATTTAATAATATATTACTTAAAATATCATAATCAAAAATAGAAATCAATAAAGGGGATAATGATTTAGGGGAATGACTAAATGTTATGAAATTGTATTTTTGGATATTAATATACCTGTAATGAATGAATTATAATGTATTATAATTATTGCATTAGGATTTTATCTTAAATTATTATGAATTGTAAATGAATATAAAGCATTAAATATATAGATTCTCAAAACTCAACTCATTTAATAAATATCCAAAATATTAATTATAATCAGGATTTATGATTTTAATAAAATTAATTATAAAAATCGTTCCAACTAAATGATATGGTTAACTCTACTATGGATTTCATAGGGATATATAATTTTTGAAGAGAGTACATTTAGATCATTTAGTGTAATAAACAAAGGATTTATTTGTTTTAAAAATTATGAAAGGACTTAAAATGTAAATTTTAAGGATTCTTTTCGAAATATCCCAAAAATAATTTTAATACCTGAATAATTTGATATTCCAACTTAATCAGTTGATTATTCCTTAGAAATTTTGGCTGTCACAGAAAAATGTAATAAAGAAATATAATTAGATTTTACACTGAAAATTAAATGTTCGGATGGAATAGTGAATGGAATTCTATATCGATGGCTTGCAATCGATGATTAAAGAATAACAGTGATTAGCTAATTTAACATCAAAGATTTTCAAGAAAAAACCTTTGAATTTGAGAATGCTAATACTCAAATATATTTTTTATCTCTAATCTCTGTATCATACATAGGAATCGTGGATTTTCAAGTTTAGGTAATATTCAAGAGATAGTAAGGTTTCTGGAATAACATAAGATAAAGTCTCAGTTATGATCACGAGTCTTGATGGATAACTGTCTAACATACTATCATTTGGATATTAGATTGTCTTAGGAACAGAAGACATTTTATAACCTTTGGGGTTAAAACAAACAGATTCCTTAAAAGCATTTATTAGCTAATAGTATCCTTTGAAATCAGAATCTTCGTTTTTAATCCCTTTAAAAGGACTTTATTATGATTCAATGAATTTATTGAAGTTTAGGAAAATCTATCATTTTGATGAGAGTTTCTAATGGTATGAATTTACAGCAAGTAGATTTTATGCTTTATTTAGTCGGATGTTGTTGTTATGTAGCTTAAATTCATGAGCCTGTTTTGATAAATTATATGTCTACTTTTTAATTTACACCTTTCATTTTTGGCCAGGTTGAAATTAAGTAAGTAGTTGATAGCAAAATTAATTATATAAACTCTTTTTAAGCTTAAATTTAAGGGAATAGTCATCTTATTACAAATTTAGGAGAGACAAAACATAGAATTCACAAAGACAATAAATTCATCTATATATCAATAAATGTAAAATGTAATTCAAATGAAATTCTCTTATTAGAATTTTATTATGGTTCAAATCCTTATATTGATACTAAGTATTTTAAGCACAAGTGTAATGGAATTTTCAAAGAGATATTTTATACTGTATAACTTGTACCAACAGTTACTGCCTATTAATACCTAATAATAAACATAGCAGAGGAAAAATTTGAAATTTCTCAAATACTTTACAACCAATAATTATAAAGATTTAAATTATTTGAAATCAAGAAAACAATACTGTGATTTACATCTAATTTATATCATTAATTATCCTTCAGTATTCCTTATCTAATAATTATGAATATTATTCAATATTTATAATATATAGATGAATATTAATTAAGTATTATGAGTAATAAAATTTAATTTATATTTATTATCTCAATTTCTGATTCTTCTTGTTTTCCAAGATTTTCTTATTGATTGAATGTTGATTTTAAAAGAAATATAAATCGTCACATGATAATAAGTTTGTAAATAATTTTCTTTTCATTATTTTAAACTTTAAGAAAACTAAATTCAAATGGAGTTTTTTCTATGTTAGTATTATTAACCATAAATAGCCAAATAAGATGTTTAAACTTTAAAGTAGGATAATAAAATATATCTTGATAATAAATTTATTTATATAATCTATCAAATAATAAATAGTTAAAGAGACACTTGGAAACCATGTATTAATTTGAATATTTACAAATATAAGTTAATTATACCTAAGATTATATATCATCAACTTTTTGATATTGTAAACATTCTTTCAATGTTTCACTATGTAATTACAAGTTTAATTCAAAGGATTGGGATCTGAATTTTAGATTGATTCTTGATTATAATATTTCATAAATTCGAGTATGAATATAAAGCTAATAGTTTGAAATAAAATGATTTATTTACTAAAAGATTACATGGAATATCTAGCTTATTGAACATAGATATTTTTTTTCTCACCAATAAGTACTATGATTATCAAAACACTTTTACAATTGTTAAATAATTATTTTGGAAATAAGTTCCCATTAACATTATAAATTATCGATTAAGACTGAAACCTAATTGTTAATTATTAGCAACAGATTTTACAAAAAATGAATAATTAATATTTTCTATCGGATTTATAAGTAAAAATAAAAATAACATATATATATTTTCTTTCATATATTTTCCAAATAATTATTTGCAATTCTATTACATTAAAATTGAAATTCTAGCAAACCATTAAAATTGAAATTCTAGCAAACCATTAAAAGTCAATCATGAGTTGTTTACATAAAAACCTTTCGCATATTGTTTTATTATTCATTTGATTCTATCATGGATTTATTTTTGATTTTAACGATATTTTTAATTAGAAATTTATAAATAGTAATGAAAAATTTTGTATTTCTATTAAATTTATTTACATATTCAATAACAAATAACATATATTAGGAATATATTATTTATTAAATTTTGTTTCATTCATAACATAATTCATAAATTTAGTATTTTGTCAACAAATAGTCCCAAATGACTAAAAACTTTCCATCTTAAGATAAATTACCAAAAAATACACTACTGGAACATTCAATAGAATTGGAATCAACTTTAAATTAATTAGTTTCTTTATCTAAAAGAATAAAATAGATTTTGCTGTTGAACTTTTAAATTATGACTTTTTTTTCATTATTGTATAAGGTTGGGAATAAGAATAATTAAGTCTTAGTTTTACATTTCGAGTATTCCAATATCAACTGATTTTTCTCTACATAAATGTCTTTTTTTAATTCAAAAAAATGAATATATGGCTGATCGCTTTATTACCAAGCAATCATTGTGTCTGTGATATAGGAAACTCCACAACCAATATCAGAATATTAATGATCAATTAATTGATTAAAAATCCATTTTTAATTGGCTTTTTTTTTCCAAATAATAATTTTTTAATCATAACCTGTAGAAACAAACTCTGTTTCTGATAAATTGATACTTAGACCAATTACGGCTTTTTCATGTCTTTATAATTCATAATCAAACTCAATAGATTTCAAGGTAAGATTTATTTTCCAAATAAAAATTAAGAAATCCGAACTGCATGATATCAATTAATCCTCTTATTTATTTAAAATTACACAAGTTACTAGACCTCCGTGAGATTTATTACTAGCTTACTTATACCATTTATCATTATTATCATAATAAAGTTTAATTGATGAATCAAAGCTACCTGCTATAAAAAAATTAGTCCTTCGACTAAAAACTAAAGAAGTTGCATAATCTGTTTCACTATCTCCATAAATCTATTATATGCAATCAATCTGCTTTCCATCCTGAAATCTCCATATCTTAATCGCATCTTATGAACAACTAACCATGATTGTTCCTTATTAATTAAATGCTAGGCTATAACATATTTCTTTTTAAACAATTTAATTAATGAGTTTATAATATAATTCTTTTTTCTGTAATTAAGATTCCCAAATACAAAAGTTTTTAAACAATATTTCAATTTTATCTTGTTCTATTTCCTTCTTCAAAGAGTCTTTAGCTAATATTATTTTTTATAAATAGGAAGAATTTACTTATTTAATAGAATCCTCATATGTCTTTTTCAAGATCTAAGACGGTTAAGAATATAGACCTTACTAAATTTCTATCTTATACTAACTTAGATTTGGTTTTTATTAAATTACTAATTATAAAGCTTCTGACCAATCTCTTAATAAAAATATAGCTTAATCCAATTTGATCATTAATTCTTTTCTTAATATTTCTAATTCACTTTGGAATTTTTCAATCCAATTATTAATTGTCTTTATAACTTCAGACATTTCTTAAAGCAAATTTTATTAAATATTTTCAAAAATTTTGTTATTGTCTTGGTTAGCTATTATTCCATCTTTTTCTTTAATGCCTAAATTCATTTTATCCTTTTCCATTTCTAGTATATCATTATACTTAAAGTCTATTTTTTCATTGAAATTTTTATTCATTTTATTTATTCTAAAATTATTAATATTTATAATCATAAAGCAAATCTTTAAATAGGTATATTAATTTAATGTAAATCATTCCATGAATAATTGAAATTAAAAGTCTGATACTTATTAAATAGAAATAAACTCTAAATTTTTGAAAAAATTGTATTATTAATATTGAAAATTGAGAAAATGAGAAATTGTTTGATAATTTTTGCAAAATTCTAGAATATATTCAAGAATCATGATAAAAAATATCAAATAAATAATTTTTTTCTCACTTCTTTAATAACTGCATATTTGATTATAATAAAATTTCAGTTAAATCAAATTTCAAAGAAATTATTTATTTATAATTTTAAATCATGAATCAAAAAATTCGAAAATGAAACTTTTGAATGATAATTAATTAAAATGAATAAACTGAAAATATTATTGCTCCTAAAGAAAATTATCAACCAATTTTTCAAGATAAATAGATTAATAATAAATAATACTATAATCATATATTTATAATTTTAGATCTAAATGATATTAATATAAGCAGATATAAACCATACTGAATTTCCAAAAAGAAATAAATGAAAATCAATCGACTCCCTTTAATGAGTAGATATAAAAGTGAAATTAATAAATAAATATTTATCTTTGATTGTAAAAATGAAAAACTGATCTCTTTCATTTTGTTAAGAAGAAAAATAAAAATAATTGATTGAGGATAAAAAGATAAAATAAATAAAAATAAAAATTACTTTTAAAAATATTAAAGTAAGATCCTAGTAAAATAATTCGTTAAATATTATAGAAGAAAAGCTAAAATCTATTTGAGATTTAAATATTAAGTTAAATTGTAAAAATAATTAAATCTATTATATGAAATTGATTTAAATTTGTGATATATATTTATAAAATATATATTGAAATTCTATTACTTTGGCCCTATTATCATAAATAAAAATAACTATTAAAAAGATAGAATGAGTAAATAAGAGGAGATCCAAGATGTAAATAATGATAAAACCGAAAGTTAAATAAATGAAGAAAAAGCAAATGCCTATTATTGGAAAGGTTTTTGATGATATTTTTAGAATTAGGAAATGCCTTACAAAAATTCGGAATGTATCATGAATCCATAGAAGCCTACTCCGAAGCAATTGAGATCGAACCAATAAATTTTAAGGCATATATTGGCAAATTTGAATTTTAGAATTTATCAAAAGGATTCGTCCAATATCGAGAATTTTTACATGATTAAGATACCGAGTAATACTCAAAAGCTATTGAAATTGATCCATAATTTCTTTCCCTTATAATAATAGAGGCAATAATTTATAACTATCATATAGGATTACTGAATTATATATTACTTTAGTATGATAATTAGGATATATTTATTTAGAATTAGATCTAATTTATGAAGCTATTGAGGATTTTAATAAGGCAATTAAGATGGACCCAAAATTAACTCTTCCAATAAATCTAGGTTACTTATAATATTATTGTTTAGAAAAAATTACTTAGACCAATAATATATACTCTGAGGCACTATGTTATTAAATTCCTTTTAATATTTTTAACAATAGAAGTTGTTCAAGATTTTCAGTTAGTTTCCCTTCTTGAATATATACTCTATTTTAGAGAAAACTCTATAATATGGAAACTCTGATTCTGTTTAATTGCCCAAAAGAAAAGGTAGATATATCATAGTATAGAATATAAGTTGTTGATTCCTAAATCATGTAGAGGTTTTTTAATCGATAATTTTTATTAGAAAAATAAAATGAGTTAGATTAAGTATTAAAGTATTTATTTCAATATCAACTTTTTGTGATAGAAAAATATGTTTTTTTTAAGTGAATTTTTTAATAAATTTACTAAATAATTTATATTATTTAATATTACAAAATAAAAAACCAATTTTTTAAAGATGCTCTAAAAACTTTTTAATATATGAATTCTTTTTGGATTATTTAAAGAGTTAAAATTAGAATAATATAATCGTCTAGATTAAAATTAGATTATATTTTATATGATAAATAATTAAGTTCATTATCGTAAGATGCTAAATCTTTAATTAAGTAACAAGCATAATCAAGTAGTAATAAACCATATTCTCTAACATTCTGAATTATATCTATGCTTGAAATTTATGAATGATTTTACATAAGAAATTTACAATTTAAATATTATCAACATTTTTAAATAATTTTTATCATAATTCTAACAGAATATCATCATCATTTTGTATTCAAATATTTATCATCTCTTGAGTTTATTCAATTTAAGAATGTAATCAAAATCTTAGTCACAACCATACTAAAACTCATTTGATTAAGAATATTATCCTTTATTAACTTATGAATACCATGATTTCTGTTAAAGCTTAGCCATAAATCATAATAAAACACTCTTAGCTATTTCAGGAAAGAATCATGTAAGAATTCTCTTATTCCAATTAATGAAACTAAAATAACTCTAAATATTTCCAAAAATGTAAAGAAATATCTCTTAACTTAATTTCCTGTAGAGAAGATCATTATTAATTAGTTGTTATGAAGATGGATCTATAATTATATGGTCTTTAAATCTCATATCAAATCCAAAATATTTGTTTAAACTTAGGAAACATATGCAAGCTATATCAAGTATGGTTGTGCATCCTCTTAAGGAAGACTTAATCATAAGTGGCTCTTTTGATAAAACCATCAATTTTTGGTTAGATCAATCTTCTCCATCTTCGCAATCTTAATGGTAGTGTATATAAACCATTAATTAACATTAAGATTTGGTTTATGGATTATCTATTAATAAAGAGGGAAATACTTTACTTTCTTGTGGTAAAGATAATTAAATATTAATAATGCAAGGATCAAGATAAATGGAATGGTAAATAAAATAGAAGATTAAATTAGATGGGGAAGGATATAGAATAGGTTTTATTACTAATAGACTTTTTGCATTTTAATCAAGAATACCTAGAAATCGTCTTTTCTTATACTAGCTTGATGAAAATACATAAATGTTCAACAAATTATAAGATGTAATAGTAGAAGGTGTAGGAGGTAATCAAACATGTGCTATATTCTTCCCTCTTGTTTATATAGATAATAAACAAATTCTTATATCTAAAAATGGATAGAAAGTTAATTTAATAAAATTAACATTCTCTCAATCAAATTAATTATTCAATTAAATTTAAACAATAGATTATGGATTCTAACCAAATGGCTGGCTATTTGGTACTGTTACACAAGATGGGGAGTATTTGATAACCTGGGATCAAAAGTCTAAGAACATTTAAATACGATCATACTAAGAAAAGATAATTAAATAAGAATAAAACTGAAAATATATTATATATATATTTTCGAAACTATTAAAAATCATATTGTAATCACTTTTGAATCGTCAATAAATTAAAATGAAACTGTGTAGTGGGAATCAATTAATAGTATTAGAGTTGTAACAGTTAATATACCTTTTTATTTTAAACAGTTTCTAAAAATTGGAATTGTATACCACATTTTTAAGTTTATACATAAAATGAATATTTATTGTAAAGAACAATTCCTCTCAATAGTGGAGAGAGATTCTGCTTTAATAATTTCCCTTTCATATTTAATAGATAAAAANAAGAATTCTCTTATTCCAATTAATGAAACTAAAATAACTCTAAATATTTCCAAAAATGTAAAGAAATATCTCTTAACTTAATTTCCTGTAGAGAAGATCATTATTAATTAGTTGTTATGAAGATGGATCTATAATTATATGGTCTTTAAATCTCATATCAAATCCAAAATATTTGTTTAAACTTAGGAAACATATGCAAGCTATATCAAGTATGGTTGTGCATCCTCTTAAGGAAGACTTAATCATAAGTGGCTCTTTTGATAAAACCATCAATTTTTGGTTAGATCAATCTTCTCCATCTTCGCAATCTTAATGGTAGTGTATATAAACCATTAATTAACATTAAGATTTGGTTTATGGATTATCTATTAATAAAGAGGGAAATACTTTACTTTCTTGTGGTAAAGATAATTAAATATTAATAATGCAAGGATCAAGATAAATGGAATGGTAAATAAAATAGAAGATTAAATTAGATGGGGAAGGATATAGAATAGGTTTTATTACTAATAGACTTTTTGCATTTTAATCAAGAATACCTAGAAATCGTCTTTTCTTATACTAGCTTGATGAAAATACATAAATGTTCAACAAATTATAAGATGTAATAGTAGAAGGTGTAGGAGGTAATCAAACATGTGCTATATTCTTCCCTCTTGTTTATATAGATAATAAACAAATTCTTATATCTAAAAATGGATAGAAAGTTAATTTAATAAAATTAACATTCTCTCAATCAAATTAATTATTCAATTAAATTTAAACAATAGATTATGGATTCTAACCAAATGGCTGGCTATTTGGTACTGTTACACAAGATGGGGAGTATTTGATAACCTGGGATCAAAAGTCTAAGAACATTTAAATACGATCATACTAAGAAAAGATAATTAAATAAGAATAAAACTGAAAATATATTATATATATATTTTCGAAACTATTAAAAATCATATTGTAATCACTTTTGAATCGTCAATAAATTAAAATGAAACTGTGTAGTGGGAATCAATTAATAGTATTAGAGTTGTAACAGTTAATATACCTTTTTATTTTAAACAGTTTCTAAAAATTGGAATTGTATACCACATTTTTAAGTTTATACATAAAATGAATATTTATTGTAAAGAACAATTCCTCTCAATAGTGGAGAGAGATTCTGCTTTAATAATTTCCCTTTCATATTTAATAGATAAAAATGTATTAGTACTTTAGCCATAAAAAAAACTTTCAGTAAAGATAAAGAAAATCTGATTAATTGTCTGCATTTTCTTCCATCTTAAGATCCTTAATAGGACCATTTTGACACTTAAAAAAAGGATGATAAAATAAAAATGAATTCCTTAATTGTAAAATTTCAATTATATTTCAAAATCTTTTCAATTAACATCAAAAACTTTTTTAAATCTATTAAGTAATTTTAAATACTTCACCGCTTGAATTTACTCAAATTCAAGTATTTATTTTTATAAGCATAATTTCACCTAATATCTGACCTAAAAATCTTATGATACAAGTACAATGTCATCGCAAAATGTTTTCAAATCTTAAAACAAGATTTTAAAGTTTAGCAATTCAAAAGATTACAAACTGAATAGTTCAATCAGTTTGAGAAAGGTTTGTTTGAACAAAAAAATTAATTTAGGACTAACAAACGAAAATTTATCAAGATAAAAAGTAGTTAACAAAAATTTAGTTTACATTAAATGAACCTAATGATGTACTTCAAAAAGTGTAAGACATTGATTAAGTGTCTAAAATAAAGATGATATAGAGTTAATTTCATTATGTCGTTTTTAGTATACTAAAAGATTTAGATCCATCTCTTGGCATAATTATTCATAGTAATTGTATGTATAATTTAGATATAGTAAATAAAATGATTAAGTTATTAAATTTTATACAATATTAATATATAATTAACAAGATAAAATTCTGACCTTTATGCCATGTTAAAATATCAAGTTGTAAAACAAAACTAATCTTAAAAAGTCTGCTTGGAGCAATATAATTAGATGGATTTTTTGCCTATTAAGTTTTATTGGGAGATTTAATACGCTTATCTATATGAATATATTTAATTTTATTAATCATAAGATTAAGTAATCATTATAAAGAATAGAAATTTTTTAATTTTATTTGATAACAACCCATATATAAAAATAGAAAAATAATAAATTTATTGTTTAAAGTAAGTTATTTATTTCTTCCATAATGCACTCTGCAGTTAACCCTATTGAAATTTATGGTAAAGTTTACGGAAACATATAATTACAAATAGTATTTACATTTCCTTCAAAACTCTTACAGAAGTTCTAAAATAGTTTAGTTTAATAACTTAGACAAAAGATCAAATCACAATTATTGTTATTTTAAGATTCAATATTTAAAGAAATTCTCGTATTGAAATTAATAATTTTAATCTTAAATAATACTAATATATATATACTGATTTTATTTATTTTAAATTATTTTTATGTCTGGTGAAAGTTATAGTTTCCTGAATTAGGACTAATCAACTAGGTGTGCATCAAGCCTAGAACATCTACATAGGATATCTACACCAGTATTAATTTATAGTTAAGAAAAAATACAGGGTTGCATGAATGAGCCTGCATTACTAATGTGGAATCTACCCTTATTTCTAATTGAAGCCTAATTTGGAAGTCAAAATCAATAGAAAAAATCTTTTGATTCAATATAAATAGTTACTAGCAGTATGCATGTTAGTTTCTCAATCCTAACAATAAAACCCAAATAAAATTAGTCTCTTGGAACTTAACAAAAATGAACAATAGTATAAGAATAAGAAATTCATATTGTTAAGATTTAATTCACAAATTGTAATCTTCATATAGATATTTTATTAACTACCTTCAAAGTTTTTGATAACTTTAATTTATTTTTCAAGTCAATCAGGATAAACTAGAGAAATTTTAGTATCTAGAATTTTTTATTATAATTTATCAACCTATTTTTCTTTTTATCTTGAAGAAGTTTTCATGCACTCTTCTATTACTTTCTTGACTTTTACTGTCCCTCTTAATAAATTGGACATTTTCATCCAATTTAAACTATGAAATGTTTAAATATTTTTTGGTTGTTGATCCAAATTTCATTTATTTCTTTTTGGATTTTTATCCCTGAAAGTGTACTTTCATAAAACTCTTGAATCAAATGTGGCTTCAGTACAAGCATTTTAGATAAAAACTATTTTTTTATTCTATCCATTTTTTCTAATCGGTGCACTTGATTCTTCATAGTTCTGTTTTCCTTGATAAATATTGTTGAAATAATTATTCACTCAATTTATTATGCATTACTATTTGATGTAGCTTTATAGGAAAATAAAACTTAACTATGTATATTATTGTAATATTACTACTTAAAATGCATTTTATCTTAATTATGAGAAATGAATTTAGTATAAACTCTGATTCATTCTATTATTATTTTAGGGACAATCAAAATTAATTAATACTATTAAGTGGAAGTATCTTACATTTATGAATAGTCATTGATATGATAAATTATTTTGTTTATGATTCAAGTAATTATTAATTTTACTAGCATTATTAACACTCAAAAGTTATAAGAGTACAATCCTTAAAGAGATAAAGATAAAATAAATAATATTAAAATAATAATAATTTTGATTTATAAAATTCATAATTCATCATCTGAATCATATTCTTCTTCAATATTATCTTTTTAATAAAAAGAGCATACTACGATAGATGTTATTAATGCAATAATGGTAATTCCAAACAATATGTAAAAGGATGTTTTTTCAAATAAATGATCTTTTTGAATTGTGAAATTGATTTTAGCTTATCCTGAGTTATAATAATTATAGGCTGTTAAATTTATATATTCTTTATTTTTTGAACTTGATCCTCCTAAACTTATATTTAGGGAGAATATATTCAATTAAAGTTCTAAAGTGCTACCATTATTCAATAGAATTAATATATTTCCGGATGAATTATTCTAAGCTATAAATGAAAAATCATTAACTAAAGTTTAATTAAGTGAAAATATATATCCACCTTCATAAAGCAGTGGATTTTATATATTAACACTTGTATTATTAGAAATATTGTAAAAGATAATCATATGTGTTTGATTAGTTTGGTTTTAAGTGTTAGAATACATAAAGAATAATAATTATGAATTATATTATGGTAGTTACGATACATTAAAATAATGTTTATCATATGGTGGCGATGCTTATATTATACTTTGGTAAATTAGTTGACTATTTGTGATATTTTATTTATTAATTACCAAAAGAAATGAAACCATTAAATTGAAATTAGAATTGGAAATCATTACAAAAATCTATTTATATTTTTTTTAAATCATAGGTATTGTGTCAAATGAAAAATATTATTGAGTAAAACTTCGTAAAAGGATAGAATTTTCATCTCCATGAGTAAATGTTGAATCATTATTGGTCTATGCAAATTTGTAGTATAATTAATCTTTATGAATTGGCTTAAAATATATATATATTATTATAACACCAGCAGTCAAATTAATTTCTATACTCTAAAATCCGAATTAAGTACTTTTACAAATAAATTATTGTGGTTATTCAATTTAATTAAGATTATACATATAAATTGTATCATTCCATATATAAAGCTTATTATTTTATATTCTTATCCATGAATTATTTCTATAATTGTTATTTGATAAATTCAGAATTTAATTAGGATATACAGTGTTAGAAGTTACATTTGATAAATTTATACTGATAATATAATATTATGATTAATTATCTTAACATAAAGCATAAATAGTTTAATTCTAAATAGTTGATGCAATACATTAATTATAAGTAGTAAAAAAATTATATGGGATATCCTAACTATAATTGTAAATACCCTAATTATTAAGAAGCATAAAGTATTTCTAATTAGAATTATTATATTAAATAATTTGATTGTAAATTTATCTTTAATTTTTTTTTTAAGGATTTTCAATATTGTTAGTCAATTTACTATCTTTATCAGTAATATTAAAATATAGTGCTTAACCTTATAATGAAATATTATATTTAAAAAGTACAACATAAGATTAAGATTTATTAACATTAACTTATGAATCTTTTAAATTTATATCTAAATAATTATTTATGATTGTTAATGAGCTATTTGATTAATTATAAGGGTTTTAATCATCAAGATATGATTAAAAGGTGAAATTAAAAATTTATTATATAAGAAACTATTAATGTATGTCTTTATTATAAAAAGCTTATAGTAAAATAGGTGAAAGCAAATAGAAGCTCTAATTAAAACAAAGAAATGCAAAACTATTAATAGCTATACTTGTGAAGTAAAGACCTTCAAATTGATAATGATAATAAAGACTTGAATGTCCAGGTAAATTTGGATTATATACATATAAAGTTGAGCTATGTAATACATAAAAAAATTAATTGTCAGAAAAATAGGAAATTGAATTTTAATCTAAATCAAAACTTATAGATTTCATTTATTTTAAATAAATTGGATTTTTCAAATTTTTAGCATTCCAAACCTCAAAAAAAACAATTTCTTAATATTCAGGAATTCAAGACAATATTAACAAATTATTTACAACAAATAGATTTTCAATTTGAAAAATAACATTTTTGATTGAAATAAATACAAAGTTGAGTTACTCTGTTATATAACCTATTATAAAATTATTATAATTGTTTATGTATAAGACTCTAGATTAGTATTATTAATTAATAACAATATTTGTTAGATTTAAGTGAACCTTTTAACCTAAAGCATCTTCTAAAATTTTAGAATTAAACAATATTTAACTTTTATTATCAAATTTTATTATTGATATTTCATTTGTATTTAGTAATAGCACTATTGAATTAGATAATAATTAAAACTACTTAAATGTTTCTGTTTATAAGGTTAAATTGTTAATCATTTGTAAATGATTATTATATTAATAAACTTAAATAATATTTTAACCAAAACTTAGGCATACTATATAAAAAACTTATTAATTAAGAACAACAAATGTAATTTCAATTTAAGTTACATTAGTATTCATATAATTAATATCAATAGAACTAACAATTGATTTATTATTTAATTAATAAATGTCTAAATTTTAATTGTTGACAGCAACTGTAAAAAGAATACTAAAATTTGAACTCTGATATTCTTAAAACAAATTAACAGAAAAAGCTTTTGCTATATAGTAATTTTATTATAATGATGAATTGATTTTGTATGAAGTATTGTCATAAAAATAACCTAAATTTTCATCGCTAACATGAGATATTGCTTTTATAAGTGGCCCTGAAAGAGAATGAATCCAATATTCAAAAGGAAATTATAATAAATTTATATATGATTCTTAAGGGTATATGAATATGGGATATATATTGTTATTTGATTAGGAAACTTATTGAAAATTAATATTTACTTAGCATAAATGGATTTAAAAATAACCATCTATTTCTAAAGCTCTAATAGAAAATTTACCTTAACTCTCATTAGATGAAAAACTTAAAAGAGGAATCTATAGTTTATGAATGATAATAGTTTCTCCAAAAATGTACAAATACTCACCTAATTCATCAAAGTATATAACAGTTTATTTATCATATACTTATTATTTTCTGAATAGAATTTGATTAAATTTTTCATTTTTCAAAATACTAATTGAAAACTTACTATATATGATAATGAAATCTTAACTAATAAATATTTAGGCTAATCGATCTACTTCTTTTCGTTATTATTTAGACTCCAGAGTTTCTACATAAAATGAATCACAATAAAAAACATCTATGAAATACATATAATCAAAATCATCGTCTAAAACTATTAAAAAAAGTCTATCAAATTAATAATATTCATCTTATGAATAATAATAAGCCATATTAATAATTTCATGTGTGAAAGATATGTTATTGACTTATAAAAGTGTTCCATTTTCTTATAATACATATGAATTTATATAATCATAATACTATATAAATATTGTTTGGTTTATAGATTCTTTATTTGATACAAAAAAATTAAATGCATTATCTTATAAGTTATCTGTAACTATAAATGTTTGTCTTTTATGCTCTTATAAAATTGTCAAATTCAATATAATCAAATTTGAATCATTTGTGTTGACTTAAGCAAAAGACTATCCATAAATAATAGATGTTGATGTATTTTTGACAATAGAACTTATTTTAGTGTAATTAGGAATAGAACTATTAGAAGTGTAAATTAGACTTAAACTATTATTTCTAATATAGTATAGAAATAATATTTGATGTTCATAACAATCTATAATAATATTATAAAATTCTGTATATGTAATACTAAAGCATTCCTAGGATTAACTAATATTGATTATTTATATAGGATTATGGTTCATTTTTCCATTTTTATTCAAATAAATGTTAATAGAAGGTTCTGTAGTTAAAGCATAAATTTTGTCTTCATGAAATGAAACAGATTTAAATGTATATTCTAATTTTAAGTAATAAATTACTATTTTCAAATAATTATTAGTTTTCAAATATATTTGAAACACTGATGCCTTATGAGCACTTTTCGCATTAATAAGTTAGATTACTACCTTAAATTAACTTATCCATAGTAATTTCTATTAATTCTCCTTCTGTAGGATAGATATTGTACTCTTGATTTGGTACTGAACAAGTCTTTACAAAGATGATGTAAACAAAAATAATCATATATACTAATTATTTAATTCAAAATCTTGAATTTAGAATTATGCAAATTATTTTTGTACTATTTTTCAGAAATTATTTTCATGTCAAATTCTAAAAGTCTATTGGTAATCTGATATTGTGATTTTCTACCATTTTATTTTTAATAATTATTTCAATTTTCTGAAATCATTTTTAATTCTTTGTAAATATTATTGCTGTTCATGATAGTTTAATAATTAAAGTGAGTTGAAAATGATAGTATTCTTAAATTAATACTCCTATTTTTTTATTTTTAGCTTAGTCTATAAAAGTGTTAAATTGTAATTATTGATGTTTAATTTAATATAATTAAATTCCTGTTTCTAAAAAATAAATATTTATTAAAATCTAGCCTAATTTTATTTCCAAAAAATATCATATCTATTGTATATTATAATTTGAATTAGAACTTATTATTTATTAATTAATTAATTAGTTAAAAAATTTATGATAATTACTATATGATTTAAAAAAACTCATAATCGACGAACTAATTAAGGTGAATTATAATTAATTCTAAAATTGTTTTTTATAATTTTAAGATTAGAAGCTATTTTTTATAGAAAAAATAATTTTAAATTAAAGTTATAATATAGAATTTTTATAATCATTATAAAATAAGATTAAATTTAGGTTTTTGCAAAGTAATCAGTAAGGGATGGTCATCAATAAATAAGTTGGAGATCATATTTTATTTATGTAAAAAAGCCTTTATTATTAATATTATTTTATTTAAGAAAAGAACACATACGTTTAACAAAGTAAAATAAAAACTAAATTAATTCAAACTATTCTTATGAGCAATCAAATAAGATTGCTAATCTTTTTATTTAGAGAAATTTCTAAAAATAAATTTGCAAAATGAATTTTAAGTAATCTTAAAAAGATTATTTCAAATATAGAAGTAATTATTAAATAAAGGCAAAAATGAGAATATAGATCAATTTTAATTTTAAATTTAAATGATGATACATTTAAAGTGAAAAAAGAAAATATTAATTTAAAATACTTGGATTATTTTTAAAATTTGTACAGCATTAAAGTCTGCTACTTTAAATTAAAGGTTTTATATATGATATTTTTAATAAAATATTTAAATCGATTGTTCACAGTTATATAATAACTACATATATTTGATTCAATAATTAATGTGTTCTAGTTACTTAAATTACATTTTAATTTATTCTATTTATTTTATAATTATAAAAATGAAACTAACTTTCTAAATTTTAATATAAATAGTTATACTACTGAATTTTTTGACTATGTTTAATAAAACATTTCCTTTCTAGATATATATTGACCTTTCTTTTCAAATTTGATTTTTTTATTTAATATTGAGACAGCAACTACATTTTTTTGCCCATTTCTCTTTATTAAATTGTTAACAATATAGAAAACAAGTGATTATTCACCTTCGAATTGCTAATAAACCATAAACCTGTTTAAAACTATGTTTATTTCCTTCTCTTCCTTTTAAAAATTTCAATAGAATATTTAATGATTTGTTGATTCATAAGTATTATCCTTAGAAATGAAAATCAAATTTAAAGAATTTATTCTTTTTTAAAATGCACTAGGAAAAAATGGAACTGAGTACTACCCCTTTTATGGGTTAATCAATATTAAATCTAATTTAAAATATAAATACTATAATCTAAAAAGAAAAGTAAAATATTGTCTTACAACTTATTAATTAAATTTAAAGTTATGGTAATGCAAGTAATGATTTATTGAAAATTAATATTATTATTAAAAATGAAAACTTTATCTCAAACAAAGAGTGAAGAACTGAATCTCAAAAATCTTTGGTATCAATCATTTCAAAGACTTTAGNAGAGAAATTTCTAAAAATAAATTTGCAAAATGAATTTTAAGTAATCTTAAAAAGATTATTTCAAATATAGAAGTAATTATTAAATAAAGGCAAAAATGAGAATATAGATCAATTTTAATTTTAAATTTAAATGATGATACATTTAAAGTGAAAAAAGAAAATATTAATTTAAAATACTTGGATTATTTTTAAAATTTGTACAGCATTAAAGTCTGCTACTTTAAATTAAAGGTTTTATATATGATATTTTTAATAAAATATTTAAATCGATTGTTCACAGTTATATAATAACTACATATATTTGATTCAATAATTAATGTGTTCTAGTTACTTAAATTACATTTTAATTTATTCTATTTATTTTATAATTATAAAAATGAAACTAACTTTCTAAATTTTAATATAAATAGTTATACTACTGAATTTTTTGACTATGTTTAATAAAACATTTCCTTTCTAGATATATATTGACCTTTCTTTTCAAATTTGATTTTTTTATTTAATATTGAGACAGCAACTACATTTTTTTGCCCATTTCTCTTTATTAAATTGTTAACAATATAGAAAACAAGTGATTATTCACCTTCGAATTGCTAATAAACCATAAACCTGTTTAAAACTATGTTTATTTCCTTCTCTTCCTTTTAAAAATTTCAATAGAATATTTAATGATTTGTTGATTCATAAGTATTATCCTTAGAAATGAAAATCAAATTTAAAGAATTTATTCTTTTTTAAAATGCACTAGGAAAAAATGGAACTGAGTACTACCCCTTTTATGGGTTAATCAATATTAAATCTAATTTAAAATATAAATACTATAATCTAAAAAGAAAAGTAAAATATTGTCTTACAACTTATTAATTAAATTTAAAGTTATGGTAATGCAAGTAATGATTTATTGAAAATTAATATTATTATTAAAAATGAAAACTTTATCTCAAACAAAGAGTGAAGAACTGAATCTCAAAAATCTTTGGTATCAATCATTTCAAAGACTTTAGTATAATTTAACTTATAATTTTTTGCATATACAATTAAAAAATATTAATTGGGTAATATCTAAAAATTAACATACTAACAAAAGAAAGTTAATAACTTTACATCTATTAATTTATTTTTAATATTGAATTAAAATTAATGGAGAAACTTTCAAAAAATAGAGTTCTAATAATCAACTTTACAAAATCTTAGTTTTCAAAACATGAAGAAGGATTCGAACTAATGAGTAAATTTTATGACAAATAATTAAATCTTAGTAATAATCATTTTGCTAGTAATTAGAAAAAAAATTAAAAGAAATATCTATCAGCCATTAAAATTAAATCAATAAGTTATAAGCCATTTTCTTTAATTTTCTGATATTTTTGAAATGATAAAATTTAATTAGATATTTTTTTAATTTATTATTAAGCGATTTTATTATACATAAAATAATGACATTGTACCATTTAGCAAATTTTGAACTTATATACTTGTTTAACAGTAAGTGTAATTTCCTAACAAAAATCAAAAATTTTACATTTTGAATTAGAAATCATAGGAATATTTAAACAAATTTTTTAATATTGACAACATTTTTCAATTAATGGATTGTACTAAAATTAAACTTATTATAATTAGATGATCGTAATTACATTCAATTAATTAGATTTTATATTTTCTGTGCAAAATTTTATTGTTATTTATATATTACAACTGTTAATACAAATTTAGAGAATAAGCATTAAACTTTTATTTTCTATTATTTCTATTGTTTTCATAAATATTTAAAATTCTTAAAAAGAATAATCATATATATTTAAAATTTTTAAAAGAATAATCATATATATTTAATAATGTGAATCATACCTTATAAAAAGTAAATTTCTGAAATTTCTAGAAGGGGCTCTAATTTTCAAAATTTTAGTGAACATCGATTGAGAAGGAAAAAAACCAAGAGTTGAGAATTTTAATTGATCATGATTTAAGAACGATTCTGAAAATGAGTCAGTAGTGAATATAAATTTTAGGAAGAAAATAGAATATGAAAAAATAATAGTGTTGATGATAAAGAGAGTGACATTGACTTGTTTTGGAAAGGAAAAGAAAAGAAATATTTAAAGAGAGAGTACATATAATAATTGATGTACAAATATTAAATTGATTCCTAAGTTAATTATAAGCGGGCCAAATTCATATGACAATATGTCTATAGGTTGATGTTACAAGATTGTAGATTGGAGATACTTGATAAATATTAAAATGGAATAGATTTTATAGGATTCAGCAGTAAGTTTATGACATAGATAGAATAATACTCCATTCAGATTAGGATTAATAATAAAGTACTGTATGATGATCCTAGACTATAGGGAATTTCGAAGTCAATCATTATCAATTGAGAAGTAAAAGGAGCATAGGAAATTTGAATGATAGATGATTTATTATTAAATTGAATATGATTTAAATCTTTTTTGATAAGTTTTATAAGGAATAGTCCAAGAAATATCACTGTATAAGGAGCAATTTGAAAGAAAAGGTTGAGTAGACTTATGGAAATTTTGTTTTCAGCTAATAATCCTATATTAGAGTGAAGTAAATTACATTGAGGGAAAATATTTTGTGATCAAATTAAGGGTAGGAATAAATTAAATATGAATTTAGATATAATTTGACTAATACAAAGAAACAATTATAAAGAATAATTGGAAATGATGATGTCAGATATGCTATGATGAATAATCATGCTATTTGAAAGTTTTGATAAGTTATTGTTAAAATTTAGCCCTTATTTGTTCTATAATAATCATAACGAAAAGAAAAATAATTTTCCCTAAAATCATTACATACTTGGTATTAGGATCATTATTTTGACTTTGGGAAATCCAATATGAATAAAAGTGGATAATGTGAACCTGGATACAAAAAAATCATCTTTACACTAGATTCTTTTTGCATTCCAGAGCTTACCTTCTCCAGCTAGTAGAAAAACTAAAGGATATACTGTAATGCTCTGAATTTTGACAATCAACGAAAGCCCAACTTTCTTTTAATTCTATGATTTAAGACAGGAGTTTACTGCATAAAAAAATATGAATTTCCTTTTCTCAATAATTAAAATCAACTCTTTGTTAAATTAAAACTCATCAATTACTATCCATCA